GCGGGGGCGATCGATAGCCTATGCTGATTGAGCAGTCGTTTATTATCAGCAGCACGACGTTTTGCCGCTGATGCAATAAAATACTTTCCTTTGCATATGCATGCGATGCGATATATCCGAAGAATCGATGAAATCCTTCGGAGGATTTTCCGCCGCGTCGCGCGCGATAAGATACGAACTTGCTCTAGGAACATATCGAGAATCTCGAGTATTCTCGCCAAGTCACGCAATGCTCGAAATAATGTAAAACGTATGGAGAAATATGAAATATATATATATATAAATCAAACAACCCCAGTATAATCCGTTTCAGTTCCGGAAATAATTTCAATCCCGCAACTGAAAGTTCCATGCCATGTCCCAAGCCATTAAGAATTCTCAAGATCAAGATCTACTTTATCATTTTGGATTATGACGTCAGGAAATAGCGAGTAAGAACATGCGAATAATACGTCAGATGGTATACAGTTAATTTTAATTCTGATCTAAGAATCATAGCCTTTGATGCAAAACGCATTATTTGAGCATGTTGAGATAAGAACGAGCATACGTGTAATCGTAGAATATAATGAATATTTTCTGTAGATGTTCAATTCGCGTGGAACACAAAATCGAGCACATTCATAAATCTCAGAGCGATAAAAAACGAGAATCTAATAGAGAACCTGTTCGCGTAAACATGTAAGACAACCTACTATAAGTAGGTTTGCCTCTAATGAGAAGAAAGCGATTTGGTGAAAATTGGCGGCATCCTTTCTGACTACAACTGTCAGTAGATTTATGTCCGGAGAAAAAAAAGAAAGAGAGAGAGAGAGAGAGAAAAACAACGTATATCGAAATGGATAAAAATAGTTGTAACATAATTTGCATGGATCGATTGTCTATGACAGCAACGTTTTGAAGGGGCGTAAAAGCAATTTCGCATAAAACTAAACGAGAGCATTTCCACTTTTTTCACGCGTTCGATATGCTTTTTTTATTTTTTTTAAATTTTTTTGTGCCCCGTTTTCGTCGTTCATTAAATCCTACTCCGCACGCGTCATTTCTTTTTCTACTATTTTCATCGCATATGGACCACGATAACTTTTCTTGTTCGAGATTTAAACTGCAGCCGGTGTTGCATCGCCGTTCCTGTTATCTTCACACACGCATCTGCGATAGATGCTGTAATAGATTTATTCGCAAACTATTGAATATATAATAATACAGTTCGAAACTGTAAGCTCGTATATCACGATGCGTAGAAATATGAACGGTCTAGCTATGTACAAGTTACAGACGATGCGATTTAACGATCAAACTAAATACGATAATTAATAATATTGAATGTAATAATTTTTGACAGAATTTAATTTTAAAATTTCCAGGTATTGGCGACTGTTAAAGAAAATAATTTTTCGTTTTATCAGATTGAAAAAGGGAAACTTATTTCATAAAACAAATTAAAAACTTGATCTTCTCTTTTTCTCAGTCTTCACAAGTAATGGTTTACGAAAATATGGACTTTTGAATGAGAAAATATTTAAACAGAAAGAATTTTAGTAATAATTTGGCATATGTTTATATTTGTGCAGTAATTTGATTAATCTCAACAGCAAAACGGGAACGTGCATGATAAATGACAAAACGCTTTCACCGCGCGAATACACCTATGTTTCCGGAGATGCGAATTAATGAATAGCCGCAAAACATTTCCGAAGAAAGCGCAAGTTTCCCACATTTATCGTTTCGTTTATTTCCTTGAGCTGACTCTCAGGTCAAATCACAGTGACTGCCAAATACAGGTACAAATAGTCGTTCCCAGAACGAATCGATCGTTGACCTAAACCGGTCTTCTTGAACGAAAGTCGTGAGAGAAAGGAAATTAATGATGATCGAGATATATGTCACACACGTTATACCTATAAACTTTCAGACGGAATTAGTCGCACGAAATAGAAAACGATGCGACCCACTGACGAGATGTTAATCGAAAGAAAGTTATCGACGCGTTTTATAAATCGCCGCATGTCATTTGCTAATTTTGACGGATCTAGAAAAATTTATATTCGTAAAATTGTAAAAAGATAATTGCAAACTGTGTAACTATAATGCTAATAAGTCGTACAATAACAAAGATTCATTAAAGATCGATTGTGCTCTCGCGTTACGCAATAAAAAATAAAATGTTAACATTTTTCACATGTTCCAAAAAGTCCACTCTAAATTTTAAGTTAAAATAACTCATTCATCGTTATGTCTCTCTTATTGACAAACTAAAAGTGTTAAATAATTGACACAATACTTTACATTTATTTTTGTTATTGTGACTTTAAATGTAATGTAAAAATAAGATATAAATTAATCAAAAATTACATGAAAAATAGTTACAATAACTCGTAAGAATTGTTGTAGGACTTTAACATATAATAGTAATTATTTTAACTTAAATTATTTGTAACAGAAACATTTAATTTTAGTAAATTTGATTATTTTTGTATGTCAAAGTTCAAGATTATTTGAAGATTCACTTTAACTTTTCTTATAATTTTAAACTGACTTTGAAACATGTTGATTGTTTAAAATGATTATGTTAAAAATACTCAAAATATTATTCCATTTTTAAGAGACATATATAAAGTGTTAAGTTATGAAATTGACATAAATATAACACATGAAAACGTTATAAAAATAATAACATATAAGTTGTATGTTTAATAATTTTACATTAAAGTATTGATCAAAATGTGGTAACACAAGAAAATTTTAACATATAGACGCATAATTTTTTACTGTGTAATCATTACACGTTTTCTGAAGCACGTTTCTTTCACGTTAATGCATTTTTATTTTACAAGTTCATTCACGCTCTTACTGTACATTATATCGAAATGGTATGTATATAAATAGAAGAGACCATTAGAACTCGCTTAATGCGATGAGATATATTGTAAGGACATGTATCTCAATCACTATTATGTGCTGTACTGAATCCAGAAAACGTGATCTATCAAGCTTTATTTCAAAGACAAAGTATTTGTATCTCGTAAAAGATGTTGAGAAAATTGACGTATAAAATAAAACCTTGCGTTAAAAGTCTTTATGAAAATAATTTACATTTTTTAAATGCAAAATAGATTATTTAAATATAGCTTAATAATTATAGTTTATAAAATAATTTAAATATAAAATAAAATAATTTAAATAATTTAAATATGGATTATTTAATTATAGATTGTTTATTGAAATTTATACTGTTTAATATTTTAATATTTTTCTTAGGATATATTTATTTTTTCAAAAAGTGAGACACACACACAGTTAAATGTAAATCTATCCAAGCTTAAAATGTAAACAAAAAATGTCTTCAAAATATCATTTAAACGCTTATACAATCCACTTTTGTGAATAAATAAAGAAAAATAAATAAAGTTTCGCAAGCGAAATAAAAATTGCGATTTATAAAAATTCGTATTTTTTTAATTGTATTTTCAAACATTCTTATTGTAAAATATTCTTTATAACTTTTTTAATCAGTGTATGTTGATTTATTTGAAAGATTTATAAAAGCCATCTTAAATACGAAATATAAAAACATTTGTATTTTATAAAATTTTATTACCAATATGCCATTCGATTATTTTGCCATGCTAATTTTTTCAATATTTTTTACGACGAAATGAGAATAATTTATCTTCGAGGCGCCCGATGGGAAAATTACTTCTAATTTATGCGATATGAATTGAATGCCAATTTGACATCAAATAATAGGAAATCTCTTGAGCCAGATCTAAGATAAAGCGTCTACGAAGAGTCACAGGAATTGGCGCGAATCGGAGCAATTAGTTGGAAATCAACTGGAAAATTGGAGCGAAGGAGATGCAATTTCAACTTATGGAAATTGAAATTCTATTCCGATTGAATTGGAATTTTTTGAAAATACCCACTGTCGCTTATCGCGACTGTGCTTACTTTAAATTCATAAGTACTGGCGCATAATTTGCATCGGCGATAATTATTCCACGTGCAAAATTTCGCGAAACCGAGTGTTTCTTGAGCTGAGTAATATAAGAGTGTGCTGCAACTTAATGTAATATATAATATAAACCGTGCTAGAATGTAGAATATAAAGTAGCTCAGTACAGTGTATGCTGCATTGCATATCTAATGAATCGATAAACGTCGCTCTACTTTCGAAAGTTCACCGCGAGATCTCAACGCGACGCGTTACATAAATTATCATGATTGCGCCGAACTCGCGGTTTGATTGATTCCGGAGGACGTTGCGTATATCCGTTTCGCGAAATACGACAAGATATTGAGATATTTATTTTCGACTCGCGCATTATGCAGATTTAACCGCGAAATTACGTATGAATATCGATTACCGCACCCACGTCGTACGCAGACAGATGTGATTCAAATTAATAGCACCGCGAATACATCTCGACCGGCCTCGTATCCTCTAATCATCGCGAGTAATACCTGAGCTTTATCAATGAAATACGTCACGGGTGGTCTCGGTCGCCGGATAAATCCCACGATAAAATGCCAGCAGGTCGTAATTACTTGCCTGGCGCGGATAATTAGCGCCTACCTGCCTACACCGCCGTAAAGAGCTAACTGGACTAAGGCAACTTTTTTTACGCGACGAAGAATATTAAACATTGCGTTCTTTTATCACGATTTTATCGTAAATCCATAAGATACGTATGTATGCATGGATGTGTCCAAGTGCTGTGTTTCTGAAAATCCAGAAGACGTCAGGTAGTTTCAGCTATTAGATGTCTCTTCACATCCTTTAGACGTCTTTACGGTGCTTTTTGTGCTCTGTCTGCGTAGTCTCGTCGTAAAAGTGTCTTGACAATCATCGCAGTGTATCACGCTATTGTTACGTAGTATTGTCTGACACGGGGATCGATTAGTCAAGCTAATTCCATCTTCTCCTGCCTCGCATCAATCATAACAATCAAAAAATAAGACCCGCATTCACACGTATTTCTCTCTTTGTCTTTCCGCAGAGTAATCTGACAGACGGGGAAGAAGAAGATCTGCCTGAAGACGCTTTCTCGCTGCTGTCGGTGCTCCTAGTTGGTTCGCTAAACTTTCCATTTGATCGATCGCGAGTCGCCCCTCGAAGACAGCCTCCTGAGAGTGCCTTTTCTCGGAAGACCTCCGATCCGACCTACCGTCCAATCATACCGCAGTAGTCTGTGCCTTTCCCCTTTAGCCCTCATCTCTCGACACCATTCTGCTACCCTTACCTCGTATACCGCTTTCTGCCACCTTCCCGAGACCCCTTTTGCCGCTTAATATAACCGATAAAATCGAATAAATTATGATTGGACGTGGGTCCCGAGGGTGAGTGTCATAATTTTTGTATCACACTCGCCACCAACTGTCAAACTCTGTTCAATAATTTTGTGATTCTTGACGTGTCTTTTACATCGAGATATCGTCATAGTAATAGTATAGTAATAGAAATGGTATATGTAAACATTTTTTTAATTTTAAATTTAACAATCTAAAAGTTTTGATTTCATGCTTTCGAGAATTGTATTTTAATAGATTTTGAAATTAAAATACTCAGAAAATATGTTATGATCATTTATTTAAATTTATTTAAATTTGTAACGTCTCTTAGCTTTTTTATTGAAAATGAAATTCTCTGTAGATAATACTTTATATATAAGAGAAAGATATACGGAGAAATTTTAAAGGATAATAAGATTTTTCTTATAACCGACGTTTTAACATCAATTATTGTAATATATAGAGTGCGCGCGCTTACGTTATCGATAAAATAAAGGTTTGCGAGAAGCAAGTTATATACTTGCTGAACTAATCCTTTAAAGGTGATATGCGCGTATAACAGAACGGATTTATCGTCCCTTCATTAATTTTATTCAATTTCATTCGATTGTACCTCTCGTAAGCATTCTTATTCATGATTTAATTATAAAAAAATACATAAATGTCAAATAAATTGTAAGAAATTATGGCTACCTCAAAGCTCCCCTAGCAAATCATGAATCATATTGATATCAAATCTGCCAGAGATTATTTCGTTAAAATAAAAATTGAGATTTTTTCCTCACGAATATTATATTGATGATCAGGCACAAGATGAAACATCTTAATGTTAAAAATATTGCTCGAAATATATCTCTATTATGATTGCGTCCAAGATTCCGGGCCATTTGAATAGTGTTCGAGTCGCGTACGTCGATCATTTTTTTTCCTCGGTTCAATCCGATGAATCATATTTCATCGGCGAGCGGATTTCTTAAGGCACGCGCTTCGAGGGGCGAAAATAGCAGCGTGTCCTGGAGATTCTCCGTCAGACGAATCTCTGCCGATATATCCGCAGGATTCCTCCTCGTGATCCTGATATTCTTCTCCGTCGCCGGCAACGTCCTGGTGTGCGTCGCGATCTACACCGACCGCGGGCTACGGAGGATCGGCAACCTCTTCCTGGCCTCTCTGGCCGTCGCCGACCTCTTCGTCGGTGGGCTGGTGATGACCTTTGCCGGAGTCAACGATCTCCTCGGTTACTGGGTCTTCGGGCTGTGGTTCTGCGACATCTGGATCGCCTTCGATGTTATGTGCAGCACTGCCTCTATCTTGAATCTATGCGCCATATCGCTCGATCGTTACATACACATCAAGGATCCTCTCAGGTGAGGCCATAAAATCATAATTTTTCGAGAAGAACAACTAAACAATCGTAAATTAAAAAAGAATTATAATTATTTTTTGCTTGACACTTGCATGCAAACATTTCCCACTAAATTTTAATATTTTTAAGATTGAAAAAATAAGAATTATATATTATATTTCGTTATTTTTATAAGATATCATAATTACACGTGAAAGAATTTAATTCTGATAAATTAATTAGTTTCGATAAACTGAGGATATTGTGGAGAATTAAGTTAAGGGATTGTATTTTATTTTTTAGATACGGCCGTTGGGTAACCAGGAGAGTTGCCATTGGCGGTATCGTTGTTGTGTGGCTCCTTGCAGGACTCATATCCTTCGTACCGATCAGTCTAGATCTTCACAGAAATGAAGATACACCGAAAAGTTATAACGATGCAGTGGAGGTATAACAATTATATAATTTAATCATTTTAGTTTATTAATATTAATATTAAAATTTGATAAAGTCACCTTTTTTCTTCTTTCAATTTTTCTGATAGCAAACTATTGCTTTTAATTATCGCGAGTAATGTTTAAGTATTTGAAGTGCACATTATATTAACAAATGCACATTATATTTAAAAAAATCTGCAATTATAAATATCAATCGGATGCAACATACGATAATCGATTGCGGAAAAAATTGAATTCGCGTCGAACTTTGTAAAGAAGATACATGCACAGAAAAAAAATAAGTGTCAAATCAAAACTTATATACTTAAACTAACGCGTTCATTGTTTCGTATACATGCAACAATTTATAATCTTCTTAGAAGAATTTAATAATTTTAAATTTCAACAATTTTATAGTCTTATTTTAATATTGTAATTGTTACTTCAAAAATATTTAATTATTTAATTCTACTTTAAGAAAATTATAATATTTGATTTAAAAATGTTATTTTCTATCTAACATTGTTTCTTTTCCATTCAAGAAAATTATGATTTAAGATTTAATTATATATTATTTATATATTAATATTATAAGAAAAATATATAAGAATATATATTTTTCTTAAAAATAAAATATAATTGCTTGAATAATTGCTTACTTGAATGAAGCCATTTTATATAGTTTAATCAAGAAAAATATATAAGAATATATATTTTTCTTGATTAAACTATATAAAATGGCTTCATTCAAGTAAGCAATTATTCAAGCAATTATATTTTCCTTTAATTAACGCAATAAAATCTCATTTCAAGATTTCCATGTTAAAACTAAATATATTTTCAAAACAAGAATGTTCTTTTTTTTGTGTGTGAATCGTTGTAGTTTGTGCTTTCGAATAATTAAGGGATTAAAAATAGATGACATTTTTCATTTTACCCCGTCACGTCCGAAGTAGTTTGCGCAATCCTCACGTTTATTCTCCGTTAATTTTACTCGTCTTTTACCCTTACAGGAGCACCCTACGTGTTCCCTAGACATTACACCCACCTATGCGGTGGTGTCTTCGTGCATATCTTTCTACGTGCCCTGCATCGTGATGTTGGGTATTTATTGCAGGTAAGAATGCTCGCGCGCGCGTTCATCGCCGCTCGAAAACTATTAATTTAACTTTTTACCTCCACTCTCGTCGCTAATCATCGCTATAATCTTCACGAGTGATGCGGCTCGCACGCAATTCTACAAAGCATGACCAACCGCGATAATCCAAGCCGCTTCGAGCAAAACCGAAACAATGCATTCAGTCTCGAACAAGAGATCTTTGTTTGAAAATTCGCAGTGAATAGGAGATAAATCACGTATACGCAATAAGCTTCTTGCGTGCGTTTTATATATTCTTCGTTCCTTATATTCGTTTAGCAAAACAATGAGTCGCTAATAAATTATCATTAAAATCATATTGATGAAGCAAAATTTTCAAGAGCTATTTGACGTGACTATACACGATGTGTCCCTCTTTTTAGGCTCTATTGCTACGCGCAGAAACACGTGAAGAGCATCCGAGCGGTGACGAAGCTGCCGGACACCTCGATGGCCAAGAGTTTTCGCTCGAAGAGCAGTCGCTGCAAACCACCGAAGCCGCAGACGAAGACGAAGCCGACCAGTCCTTACCATGTATCCGACCACAAGGCCGCGATCACCGTCGGCGTAATCATGGGCGTATTCCTGGTGTGCTGGGTGCCCTTCTTTTGCGTCAACATTGTCGCAGCCTATTGCAAGACCTGCATACCTCTCCGAGCGTTTCAGGTGATGATCCGACTTCTAATCTTCTTAGAGAACATCAGGATATCGATTTTATCTCGATTACAATTGTTTCAGTTTGAGACCGAGCTTTTTCCTTCCTTAAAACAATCAATTAAGAGGGATATTTTTATTTTTGACTATGATAATTATTTTATTAGATCATCTTATAGAAGAATTCTCTGAGGATTTTCCTGTCGCTGAAACGTGGAAATCATCTCTTCTTCCAGGTTCTCACGTGGCTCGGCTACAGTAACTCGGCCTTCAACCCGATAATCTACAGCATCTTCAACACTGAATTCCGGGAAGCGTTCAAGAGGATCCTCACGAAGGGAGCGCGCGCGCGGGGCAACCAGCCTTCAACCAGCGAGTGCGGCGAGTTTCGTTCCGTGGTGGTTCAGAAACGCAACGGATCCATGGTCGAATGCAACATCAGCCCAAGATCGAGCGCGGACAGCTGCCAGGTCGGCGTCATGGCTCAACGACATCGCGACACCATCGTCAGCGCTATATAAACCGCGAGTCAACAGCTCTCGATCATCTCGAACGATCTCTTTCCCGGATCTCACTCGCCGCTTGCCTCCGGAGTCGTCGCGGTCGTTTCTCACCCCTTTCTCACTCAGTCGATCTTGTCGAGGAATCTGCGACACTAGGATCTTTAGAAACATCGACATCGTCTGACGGAAAGTAATATGACGTGCGAATTTACATATGCCACGTCCAAAGACACTTTTTCATCATATCGATCCTCTATAATCGCACGGGAGAGACATATCAATTATGAGTCGGCTTCATTTCGACGTGTAAAATTTCCCGATTTTATTTCTGTTTTCCGAATTTATTTGTTTATTTTAATTTGTCTCGAGTCCCCCACGCATGCTGAGAGAAAAACCATTGCCGCGATTGCACGACTCCCAACGGGACGGTAAATTATCCCGTTTCGCGCATGTGAACTTGCATCGATGTACATAAAATCTGCACACGATGTTACTTGTATGGAAGAACAAGCGGATTTCATTCTCGTGTGTGCTAAAGTTTAGTATTTGCGCTCGCAAATCCAGATAATCAAGTGATTAATCGTATTAATTAATCATGTTAATTAATCATGTTGTTGCCATGTTGATTAATGATTAATCATATTGCTATCGTGTTGCCAACGATGATATATAATCGTTGGCGACATGACAGCAACCTCATAGACGGCTAACTATCTGGCAAGTATTAAACGCTAAATCTACCTGCTCGAGGAAGGACTTGCAACTGCAGTTACGACGTTAACATTTCTCGCTATACAATCGCTCATTTAATATAAATGTAACCGAGGCCGCTGGGATAATATTCGATCATATTAAATCTCTTCTCACGTAATATCAATGTTCTAGTTAGCTATCGGCACTTGGCTCGAGAATTTAGAAAACCGTTGTTCGTCTCTCTTCGACATCGGGTATCGTAAATGCAGGAGCAATATAATATCGAGATAATTGATATAATAAAAAGAATACTTCGTATCTTTCGACTCTGTCATCGTCATCACCCTCGCGACTTGAAACGAATTAAAAATTACAAGTGACACGAAGGTGTTTTTTTTCAAACAAATTAAAAATTACGAGTGACACGAAGGTTTTTTTTCAAACAAATTAAAAATTACGAGTGACACGAAGGTTTTTTTTTCAAACAAATTAAAAATTACGAGTGACACGAAGATTTTTTTTTTCAAACAATCGAGGAGCATCTTCTTATCACGAACAAGGCTGTGTGATGTGATGTTCGATGCAGGCGTAAGCGTGACAATTCGCGAAGACGTAATCAATCATTGTAATTAAGACAATCACTGAAACTTATTTCGTGACATATCTAGAAAACCTGATTCATTGAAATCGTAGTTTTCTTTTATTATATATATATGTATATATATATATATATTTTTTTTTTTACTTATTTACTTTTTATTTACTTATTTATCCTTTTTTTAAGCGGTACGACTATAAGGCATAGAGTGGGATTTGTCGATTAATAGAAGAATCCAAGTGTAGTAGCGCTTAGGATACTAATTTCATCAAGCAATCGTAACTCTTTAATGGAGCAAAGTCGATAGCCAATCTACGATATTAAGAGTTGGATGTTACCGATACGTTTCTGAACAGTAACGTCAGTCGAGAAATATCGTGAAGAAAAAAAAAAACTTTATAGAGCAATAGGTCAGCGCAAACGGCGCGCCGTGTGAACTACAGAATTCATTTTCCATCTTGTAAATAGCCATTTAATTATTTTTCTATTTGACGGGGCGCAAAGGGACGCAGACAAAGAGAAAGAGAGAAAGATATAACTCGCAGAAGCGCGGCACATCAGATATATCGCGAAATCGAAAATCGTCGAGCACCCGTCGAATCTAAAACTCAATTCTGCATCACATATCCGAGCGGAAGGAAGTAGTCACGAGCCAATTTGGCGTTCGCGAGGATCCGTCGAGCTTCCTTGGTACATCTATATCTACGATACAAAGCGCATTGCGATCCGGCGCGAGAGGGGATGCAGGGGGAAACAAAGGGAAATGGTACACATGTGTATACGTTGTTGTAGATTGTATAAGAACGGTTGTGAAGGAACGACGTTTCAAACTCTCTAGCCGGCTCGGCGCAATGTTGATGTATATTACTGATATATTCGAATGACCGTTCTCTGTAAATATATTAGATTATAAGACTTCGACAAGAGTATCTGATTTGCGACTTCTTACTGATTCCTGTATCCCATCGAAGCATAGAACACACAAACCGAAAAACAGGCACTTATATATGCTTCTTACTCTCTATTTACAATATCTACAGAAAATTTCAGCTGCAAGTATAAAATTATAACAAATAGAATTTTTACAAAATATCCTCTCGTTCTCGATATGTATTAATATACATACATGTAATTGAAATATTTAACTACTTTCGCTACTTAATTTTATTGGATCACTCTGAGATTTTTGTAAAGAATATAGGAAACGGCAGAGACACATTTCCTCAGCGATCGAGATTCTGAACAAATAATATTTATTGACTCCTTATTTTCTTAAATAATATTACATTGTTACGTTCAATATATCTTTCTTTCATGCTACTGTTATTGAAAAATTCAGGCACGGTATCCGTCCATGTGCGATTTTCTCTCGGAATGTTCAGAAAATCGAGCAAATTGCTGCTTAATCTTGGTGTGATTGGATATAATATTAAAGCAGCTATTCTGCTACTTTCCAGAGCGAGCGATATCACGGCTTTAAGTTCCCTAATTGAATTCGCATCGTCAATCTGCTTTCTCAACTGCCAAGGCTCGTGATAATCTATCATCCTATTCGCACAATGAAGCATATTCATAACCGCATCTACGACATGATGCAAATTGTATTCTTCGTAACTCTCGCGCGCTTTCCTGCCTACGGATTCTAACGCTTTTCTAGTTTCGTCGGCCACCTGAGATTGCAGCACATTCCAGTATTTTGCCGGATCGGGAAATTCTTTGGACGGATTAATCGTTTTACCCGCACAACGATTGACCAAATTGCCCAATGTATCCGCCAATTCGGAATTCAATACATTGACAATCTTTTTTGAACTGTAATCTATAGCACAAAGTCTCTTGTATGTATAGAGATAAAAAATATACATGAGTGCAAAATGATATGTAATAATTAAATGAACAGGAATCATCTTACTTGCGTCATTCTGCGGCACTGCTTCTCTGAGAATAAAATATCGTAATCCATCTTCTGAATAATCATTTGCAGCCTCAAACGGGGAGATTACGTTTCCTTTTGATTTCGACATTTTTTGATGATCGACGGTCCAATGAGCATGACACAGCAACGTTTTTGGAGGCTCGAGACCCGCTGCTATCAAGAATGCTGGCCAATAAACACCATGGAACTTCAAAATGTCTTTTCCTATTACCTGCATCAATATTTTCTTTCAATATATTTCATATTATATCTTTTAATAATCAGAAACAATTAGGACTTATAATCATACTTGAATAGTAGGTGGCCAAAATTCTTTGAATGATTCATCTGGATATCCTAACGCTGTTAAATAATTTATCAAAGCGTCCATCCACACGTATATTGAGTGAGACTCATCGCATGGAGAAGGCATGGCCCATGGCACTTTACTCCTGATTCTGGTGATGCTTAAATCTTGCAAACATGAACCTTCTTCTATCCACTCGGACAACATTTTATGGTACAATGCTGGTTTAATTGTGTTTTCTACAAAAGATTCAAAATTCAATTTATAAGCATTATAAGAAAGTATTAAATTATAAGTGGGAAACAATAATGTTTATACCATCTTTGAGCCAATGCTTGAGATCATCTTGAAATGCGCTAAGTCGAAACTTGTAATTCTCTTCTTCCGTCCATTCCACCGTATTTCCTGATTGCGCGGAGACTTTGATTATTTTACCAGTAGGATCTCTCTGCTCCACCAACTCCGTATCAGATAGAAACGCTTCGTCCGATACACAATACCATCCCGAATACTTTCCCAGATAGATATGTCCTCTTTCCTCCAGTCGTTTCTGAAAAAATACAATGTAAATCAAGATATCAAACATACATTACAGAGATTGATGTCTAAATTTGTTTTAAGAACCCAAAAATGATGCACTGCATCGTAATGTTGCTTTTCTGTGGTTCTAATAAAACGCGAATAATCCACTTCAAACCTATCACACATTTCCTTGAATTGCTGCGAGATATTTGTACAATATTCGAGGTTCGGCAGACCCGCCGCGACCGCCGCAACTTTAATTTTATTGCCATGCTCATCAGTGCCTGTAGTGAAAAATGTTTTGTGTCCCAACATGGTATTGTATCGAGCAACTGCATCAGCCAGAACAGCACTGTACAAGTGGCCAATATGAGGACCTAATATATAAAATATATAAATATACTTATATAACACTTTCCTGTTATACTTTTGTAGATTATAATTTGATAAGAATTTTTAGTTTGAAAATTGTGCATACCAGCATTCACATAAAAAATGGGTGTGGTAATATATTTATTTTGAGATGTATCTGTTACATATTGCCTCTTTATTGTTTGACTCCATGATGATCGTACGTTTTTGAACAGGAATGAAAATATTGCCAATTTTGAAAGCTCATAATTTTTCGTTATACGTATGACTGAAATTTAAATGAACAATTATTATTATTAATTAAAATTTATTCAAGAAATTTCTAAGTACAAGAGAAAAGCGATATATCAGATTTTATACCAAAAAAAATATATTTTTTATCATATATTAAAGAAATACTAATAAAACAGCATAAAGTAATAAAATAATTTTTAAAATTATTATTACTGTTTGAAACAGTACGTTAAAAAAATTATTACATAGAAAATAAAATACAGGAGCTGTTAATCTTAAAAATATTTATTTCTTTGTATACATATAGTTATACTACAATAAGAAGCAATAAAGAAATATTTTACAATATTTTTTCATTTCTTCTCAATATTATTAGGTGCTTCTAGAGATATTGTTTCTAATTGAGCTATAAGATCCATGTGTTTAAACTCGTTAGGTTTTTGGGTAAATGTTTCAAGCAGCTGCAATCTGTGTTTGTTGTCATTACAATAATATAATTGCAGCTCATTAGCTAGACATTGTGCTTCCTGTACTTGTAGTAATTTTGTATCAAATTCTCCCCGCATAAGTATAATGCCTTTATCATCTCTCAATTCAGTGTAATGTATCATAGTTAAACACTCGGGTGCATTCTCTTTATGCGTCTGATACCACAAAAGTGGCGTCATGTGTACTTCTGAACCATAGAATTGACACATAATAAATTCATAGCCCTGTTCTCTAGGTAATGGTAACAGAAAGGTAGAATATTCTTTCCCACGTGTAAACATCATATCGTATTGCTCAGGTGTCATAGTTCCGCAAATACAATCCTTTTGTTTATGATATTCTTTCCATATTTCTATAATCTCTTCCTTTGTCTTATCTTTTATCATGTCAACCTTCATAATATTATCTAATCGTGCCTCTTGTGCCTGCACCCCAGGCTCCAAAATTGGTTTCGCCTCAGTTTGATACAACTTTGCAGCTCGCTTCTCTTTAACAATAACATTCAAGCATCATTTATCATAATAAAACAATGCCACGCAACTCTTAGAATTAATATTCTTATCACTGGTAATTTATCGCAACTGTAACATCAGTTGTAAAGATTGTATTACAGATGTCTAGATGAAAAATACATTCACAGAGAGGTCCACTGTGCAAGATTGTCAAGTGAAAACAGGAAAAAACAAAATAGAGAAGAGGAGGAGATTTCGAATGATGAAGAAACGACATTGCAATCTTACAAAATTCATACCTTTCTTATCACGAGCTTTTTCCTGTCGCTCGACGCGTTGCAGAAATTCGTCAGGACTGGTCTGCTGCAGCTTGGCGATTTTCCCGGCATATTTATCGTAATAGGGATTCTTCTGCAGCTCCTCCAGGACCTTTTCGAGTCTCGCCCGGCTCGTCATGATATACCTGATGTAGCTCTCGTCGCTCGTTCTCGCTATCCGGGTGTCCTTCAAGCGTCCGCCTAATCTTACACGCGCCACGTTTCTTAGTAAGACACTTGCCATTGATATCAATCGTATAATATCGCAGGAAAAATCTTGAAGCTCAATCGAGAGAAACGCACGGACGCTCCGCCGCCATCTTGAAACTTGACAAGCTCCCCGAGATGTCGCTGCTGGCGCTTTAAATCGCTGCTCACCTCAAGTGAGCGACTTCAAGGGAGAATCGAATTCGGAGCTGGGGAAAAAGGAGGCCGTCCTTCGTTCGACGCGATCGCGGCCTGAAAAATACGGCGATTATCGCGCGCGCGAAACGTCAAGCGCGATCGTCAGCTGATCGCGCTCGGGTGGCTCCATTGAGCGGTAGTGACCCTCTCCCTCTCCCGCCCGCCCGTCACCGTCGTGACGTATCGCTTCCGGGACGTCAGTCGCTGCTCTCGTGCCAACGGCGAAAGGGAAAATGTCGGCGCGCTGTCGATGGGGCTTGCCGTGCCGTCAGTGACTGCTCCCAGTGTGACACGTAACAACGATCGCGACCCTCGGCGACCTTAACTGTCAAAATTTGGCCTGCAAAGCGTGCTGATACGCCCCGGTCGGTGCGTACCTCGATTTGACTCGAGAGAGAAAGAGAGAGAGAGAGCGAGAACAAGAGAGATCGGCTGAGAGAGGGAGAGAGAGAGAAAGAGAGAGGGACGTAGAGCAGGTGCAAGACTACCATCGTCGTGTAGAGGTCCCCGCGCAAGGGAAGAGCCAGACAGAGTGGAGGAGAGAGAGAAGGCATACGGAGAATAGTGACATGGCGTCGTTGGCGGTATCGATAGCAAAGAATGAGTTCATCGTGGGTGGCAAGTACAGATTGATGAGGAAGATCGGCTCGGGCTCCTTCGGAGACATCTACCTCGGCATCAACATCTCCAATGGCGAGGTAAGGAAAACGGAACGCCTCTCGAGCACCGACCTACTGCTGGACTGCCAGCTCGGCTCCCCCTATTCGCGTTTCCCGTTCGTCTGGTCTCCTTTTGTCGCGGATACTCGTCCGATAATCATCGCCCCTCTCGACATCGTCGAGCTCGTCCCGAAGCAACGAGTCTCGGGACGAAGCAACCGTTGGTGAGGCGATTTTCGACGCGACAGAAGGACCTCTCGGACGGCGTCCTCCTTGTCAAAATCGCGATTCCAGGGGACACGCGTCGCGAGGAATCGCGCGTGCATGCGTGCGTGTCGTGAATAAACGTCGACGATAATCCCGCGAGGAGGTTCGGATTGTCATGCGTATCGCGAATGACGTACGTACGTCGTCGCGACGCCGTCGAGATAAATATAAGCTGACGCTTGTCATAATAATGACGATTATCGGGATTCAAGTGCGCGTAATTTTGTGCAATCGCGCGAATCGGCCAGCGATGTGGACGTCGACGTCCCTCGCTTGGATTAGATTCCCGCTGGACCGAGTTATAACTAATCCTGCGTCCTAATGTCTCACTAGGTTATAAGTTGCAATTTACAGATAATGAAAATTAGATCAACCCTGGAGCACGATGACTAATGATGACAAGATCGACCCTTACTTTATTTGTTTTGCAGATTTCTTCCCCTTTTTGAAGTAACTTGAGAGATAATTATTGTTAATATGCTCCGATGCATTTTATTTTAAGCAGCATCCGCTATTATGCAGTTCATGTGTATCAATTACAATGTAAAAAATGCAGTATTAATAGTTATATTTTTTTAGGATATAATGATAGTAGAGATAGAATAATAGAGAGGAAATAGAATTTAAATAATAAAGTTATATTCGAGAATTTAAATTAACTCAGTGCACTACATCACAATTGTTACACTTAGAGAGTTCATTATTTTGTTTTTTCATTATCTCTCTTCACACATACATTTATAATCTATCTATAGTTATTTCCATAATGTACAAGCAAATTCTTTTCATACAACAAAGGAAATTCGTAATAATAAGAAGAAAGAAACCATAATATGATTATATCATTATACAACTTTCATTTGCATTTGATTTGTAATCTTTGTACTAGACAAAGCTTTGAAGCACAGTTTAATAACATAAGCTGTATATTTTCATTTCAGGAAGTCGCAGTTAAGTTGGAAAATATGCGAGCCCGGCATCCGCAGCTTTTATATGAGTCAAAGCTATACAAAATATTACATGGTGGCATAGGAATACCGCATATACGTTGGTAACTATCGCATTTAATGTATTTTTCCTTCTATATTTCGTGTATTTTACATTTAAGATATCTTACCCAGATAAGAAATTTTTATGACGTCACGTAATAATAAAAATTTAATAAATCATTATTGAGTTATTAATCAAGCTTTATGAGAATTAGACAACTGACAAAATTTTTCTTATCTCAGGTATGGACAAGAACGTGAATATAACGTTCTTGTCATGGATCTTCTTGGACCATCTTTGGAAGACCTTTTCACTTTTTGTTCAAGAAGGTTTACGATTAAAACAGTTCTAATGTTGGCAGATCAAATGATTGGTAGGATTGAATATGTTCACTGCAAACACTTTATCCACAGAGATATAAAACCAGATAATTTTTTAATGGGGATTGGGCGACATTGTAATAAGGTATACTCCTTAATCTAAGAGTATTACGTTTTGTACATATTAAAAATTAAATTTCCCATATAATCCTCTGAATTATAAAATGATTGTTTCAGCTGTTCCTCATCGATTTCGGATTGGCTAAAAAGTACAGGGACAGTCGCACAAGATTGCATATAATATACCGCGAAGATAAAAATTTAACGGGTACTGCAAGGTATGCATCTATTAATGCACACCTTGGAATTGAACAAAGTCGTCGCGATGACATGGAGTCACTCGGCTACGTTCTTATGTATTTTAATCGCGGATCATTACCTTGGCAAGGTCTCAAAGCTGCAACAAAGAAGCAAAAATATGAAAAAATTAGTGAGAAAAAAATGTCTACGCCAGTAGAAGTCTTATGCAAGGTATATCGAAGAATCTATTCATAGTTTTTTCATGTTCCTATTACATGTATATTCATTACAATGAAACTTATGCGTTTCTCAGGGATTTCCCGCCGAATTTGCAATGTATTTGAATTATACGCGGGGCTTACGTTTCGAAGAAAGTCCTGATTATATGTATCTACGCCAACTATTCCGCATACTTTTCCGTACATTGAATCATCAATACGATTTTACATTCGATTGGACAATGTTGAAGCAAAAAGTAGCGAGTGGTACTGTTGGTAGCGGAGTATCAGCAGCTCCAGGTCTCTCTCAAGGTGCTCAAGGTGCTCAAGGGCAAGGACAAGGTCAAGGTCAAGCACCTACTCAGGCCAATGCTCAATCAGGTTAAAAATTTCAAAACTAATTTTAAAACTAATGTTTTGTAGCATGTTTGTATGCAATTTCTAGCTTCTATTAGAAATTTATGTGCATCTCATTTCTCAGTCATAACAATCATGGGATTAATTGAATTATTGAAACTTAATGCTTTTTTTAACCTTAATGCTTTTTTTTTTATTATCTATTTAATGCAAAATTTGTCTCTTTTAGTTATGTAAATTATCATTTTTAACAGCAAATTTCAAGCTTAAAAGATGGTTGGAACCTTCCACAAAAATCAACAACGTCTCGAATGGGACAAATCATTCTTCCAAGAAGCAATAATCCAGGGACTCCTTAAATTCTTTTTCCATATTTTCTGATGAAAGAACGCGTCATAAAATTTCGTGGAAAAAAGATTTTATTTACAACTTATATAATAACTGAAACTAATGGATATAAAGTATGCTTATACGCTAATTAACAATTAATTCCACAATCCGTGATGTATATATAAACTTATACCAAATATTGTCTATTATACCAAAAATTTTTAATCAATATTTTTATTGAGAATCTATTTTGGAGTATTAATTTGTATATTGATAGATATAATACTTTTCATACGTTGTTTTATATATAATTTATTTAACGTTTCTACATGTTATTTTAATAGAATAATAATGCATAGTTATATATTGTTTTAATAATTATAGATCAATCTCGAATTTATTTTGTTTTCCTCAAGAATACATTGTTCAATAATTTGAAATATGCATTCAGACCTATTACATTAAGCTTTCTTTTCATAGTTAAGACTTTTCATAATTAAGACTTTTAAAAGCTTAAAAAACGTGTCAACTTTTTCAGCTATCATTAGCTTCATTTGATAGATAGTATCAGAATGAATGTCATGTACAAAACTTTAGATCAGTATCATTATTATTCCTAATTTTGTGTGCATGTAATGCTAATATTATTAAGCATAAAAAATGTCTATAAAGGATGCTAAAGAAAGTAAAGTCACATTGTTGTAAAGAAAAAGTTACATTTGCTATATCTATATGAGCATTGTATTATAGATAAAATTCAATAGAGTATAATGATTATTTGTCGTAATTTAAAAAAATTTTCGCTTCTATTTGTTTCAGGAGCGCGCTAAGACTATAACTCCTCATTGTAGCAACAGTCTTGATCGCGATCACTAAAGTGTTTCAAACGAGGTACCGAACTTCTTACAAAAATTCTCATTCAGGGAGTCATATCAGTCAATACTCTAATTTCGCAATGAGAGAACGCAATTATGTGATTAGAAATGCAACATTTGCGTATACGCGATAAGAAGATAAACGTAATTACTTAGGCTACACATGAGATGTTTGTTGCGTAATATCTGCAACTTAGAGTTTCGGTTGATTGGACTCTTTGGATTTGGAAATGCGAGTGAGAGACCAGTCAGCCAGAGAGTGGCTTGTTCTTATTTTGTTATTACGTATTTAATTTACCGTTGGTAATCATTAAAAAATAAAAATTTTGAGATGCCCTGAAAAGGAAGGATCTTTCTAAAAAAGTGCACGTGATAGTATAATATCGGAGGTATAGCGAATGGTTTTTATCATAAAATCATTATCATAATTTTCATGGAGAGAAAGAGAGAACACATCCAAACGATTCTCGGAATCTGCGGAACGTGTCTCGTGAAAACTTTTACATCTAAAAAGAAGAAATGTAAGAATTTTTTTGTTTTTCATTTTTTTATTTTTGAGTATGAGTTGCACTGCACTGTTGGGCGAACTGACATCTTGCTTCCTAAATTTCATTTTGTCTTCAATACATAGCGCGAGCATACTAGCGTACGTAGAATGTTGAGAAAGTGTTAATATTTTTCTTATCAAAGATGGTGTGTCAATAGTATCAAAGATGTCAGGGAGTATCTTTGATGCGTTTAATTGAAATAACTTTTTTTTATATGAATAAACACACAATGATGTCTCCCTCTCCCCTCCCTCATATAATATTGACAGATAATGATAAAGATACCTTAATGTTAAGGCAACAATCTAACTTTTAAGTATGTACTGAATACTATATCGAGTAACGAATTTTACTCCATCGAGAAACGAACAAACGACTAACGATTCTGTCATAGAAATATCCCTCGAATTCACTCTCTTTCTGTCTGTGAATTGTGAATATGTTTATCATGAAGCATAAAATTACCGCCGAAGAGAAAAGGAAACTTTGTGAATAGTGAGAAATAGTTACAGGCTCACTTTTATCTAGATAATATATAAAGGTTTATTTCTCGTTCGAAAAAGTATTCCTGTAACTGAGGCTCTCTAGCTGGATAATTCTTCCGTATATATATAGTTATATATATAGTTTTAATAGCTGAGACTGTGCAGTAGCTGTTTCACGTGCTGTTGCTTCAAGATTAAGTTTGATATTTTGTATACACACATTAAAGGACTTCATTATACTTCATGACCAACAAGCGTTCTTCGTAAACATATTACATACTTAAAGAAACGCCATCACAAACAGTCAAAATCTCGATATCGACGATTATTAGGGAGCTCTATCATTTCTATCTTATTTAAGATCTTAATTGCATTAATTAGCTGCTAAACTCCTCACGTCCATATTATGCGAACGTTAGTTCCAAACAAGCTGTTTACGATCATATACTTTAATAAGTAATAATATTAGCATGTATCACACATGTCCCCGTCGTGGAAGGTACTACCAGTCGTCCGGTCAGCCTTAAGTACGAACTGCGAAGATGAATTAAAATTGTAAATCTTATCATAATTTAAAGAAGCGGATTACATGCTGCGCCTGGACAGTTCTTTTTTTTTTTCTTTCGAAAACATGAAAAGATGTAATCAATAACCATCCTCTCGATTTATGAGAATGCGTGGTTTAATTATTATTAAAGAGAATAAATGAAAGTGTAAAAGTGTGCATCATCATGCTGTGAATGAATGGGCGAATAAGTTAACGAAATAACTAACGATATATGCACTTAATTAAATACTATCCGCTGTGTGTATGTGTGTATGCATATACATATATAAGATATATCACAAAATGTATATATGTATATACATAATACACACATATACATGTCTGTATATATAATAAAATTGTGACAGTATAATTAAGGCATACCTTATTTCATAAATATTTGAGGAATACATCAACGGTTTACTGCTCCTTTTATCTCTATAAATAAAAAAAAACTGGAATATTGTACTATAAATATTTCTGTTTCATCAAAAAATGTGTGTGTTAATCTTAGTAATAATTTATGATTGCCTGTTGCGTATGATATATATAGCAACAGTGAAAGTGTATATGATGTTTGGTCAAGGTAAATAGCGTGGGTATGCTCTATAAAGACCACGCTACTTTCTATTGTTGTGATACCATCACCATTTAGGGTGTATATTTACAAAGAACACACTTATGTAAATATTTTTAGACCATATATTTGACAATTCTTAAAGACATATATTATATATATATAATACGAAAAAAAGAAGCCACGGAGGCACATGATTTCTCCTCTTGAATTGTTAATACTAATATAACATTGCGTTTATAAACGTGAATGAACACTGGAGAGAGAGCCTCCCAGTCGCGATGCACCGGTCATCGCGCTGTAGCCCATCAAAAATAAATAAACATTGCACAAGTGCAAAGTACGAATTACTAGATTTGCCTTTTGTACCCGTTTCACATCAATGCAAGAGAATACAAACACGAATTCTCCGTACAAAAGTCCAATTAATGTAGAGTTCTTCATGACATGTATAATTAGCTCTTTTATGAGGCAGGGTGCGATATACAATAAAAAAATATTGGTAATATGGAAACATAATTAGAAAAAGATAGTCCCTTGTACACAATATGTCTTAAGACTTTCATGATCGCATATACTTTGTCGCCAAGAAATAAATAACGAAGCGCGAGCATTTAATAGTACAGTAGAGTGTGAATTCTCCTAAGTTCTTCCGGTCCTACATTGACAGAGAAAGATTTTTCCGGGCCATTGTAAGGGATCTTTATTTCGGCGGCGAGTAATTTGCGTTCCTGCATTGCCGCTGCCATTTCACGATTCGGATACACGGCGAAATTGGCTTCTGCTCTTCCACCCGGTGTACGTTTAATAGCCTCGCGACGTACTTGGGCCTGAAAAAAGTGTAATTTTGGGAATATTCGATATTGTATCAATTTTCAGTCTCTTGTTTATCATTTATACTTACAGTTAACTCGTCAGCTCGTGCCTTTAACTGCATGATGCTTCTTCGCCGTTCCAATAAGTAATGATAAGACATCTCGGGTACTTTACGCCGCAGATCGGGAACTGTCGGGTAAACTAGAGTTTTCTCGACATCCTGAAACGTATGAATAAAATATATAAGAAAAAATATTTCCAGGCCCAAATAATAATTAATAATTATAGATAGAGTCGATCAATATTTAATAATTACCTTAACGAGACTGGTAGTCTTCTGTCGCAATTCTTGAATTGTTGAATCCAGAGATTTCAAATTTGTTGGTGACGGCAATGGCTCTAAATTATCTAACTTTTGACGCAAAACATCGCACAGTATCTTCTTTTTCTGCTGGTGTTCATTATTCAAGGCTTCCTTTAGAGCATGTATCTCTTGTACATAATATTTATTGTCTAAAGCGCTCGTTATCGAGGTGTTTCCTGTCATGCTATCAGCTCCACCAGATACCGATATCGTTTTCTTGCCAATTGACTTTAATTTCTCCTTCAATTGCCCTTTCTCCGTTTCCAAGCTGTCGATGTCAGTTTGAAGATGATCCATTGTCTCTTCGAATTCTTTTTCCTATTATCAAGAAAATATGATAGTTGGGAAAATTATGTTAAAAGTACACATGACATTACAATTTGTCATAGTGAAAGATGCACTAAAAAATTTTTGTATAAATTTACAACTATTATAGTAGGTAATATTGAGACCAACTATAAAGGTGTACATTTACATACATTAGTAAATTTACATTTTATAGATAAAATTATTATCTTAAATGATAAGTAAGCATCTTGTACTAATAAATTTACATGTTAGAAGTAGATTTCTAGAAATGTTTATGTAATAATACATTTTGTATATGTATATACAATTTCACATATTAAATTCAATTTATAATTATATACATAATTAGTGTAATAATTACGCTATTTATAACGAAAATATATAAATTCATGTACTTTTACAAAAATTAATTATTTTACTCTTTATTGTGTAAATATTCGTTTATTAAGTGTAATTTTTAAATTTTATATAAATGTTACAAAAAATTGTACATAAAATCCAAAAATTACACTTTTAACCTTGTAAAAAGTTCTCAAATATAAACGAATATTTACAATAAAGAGTAAAAAAACTAATTTTTGTAAAAATACATGAATTTATATATTTCCCTTATAAATAGCGTAATTGTTACATTCATTATATGTATAATTTTACATACTTTTTTTACAGTGTGAAATACCTTGCGTTTCAATTGATTTTGCGCCTCTTCTAATTTTCTCTTCAACTTTTCGACGTTCATCTCGTGTTCGTGTTGTTGTGTCGCGAAACGTTTCTCCGCCAATTCCTTCCGTAGCGTCATCTCGGATAATTCCTCTTGTTTCTCTCGCAAAGCTAATCTCGCTTCACGTATGTCACTATCCCTTGCTTCGAGTTTTCTAATGTAAAAAAATTAGAACATAAACAATATCATAAATTATATCCTTTTGATAATAAACAAACGCATTCAGAGGAAGAGATACAAATACCTGCTGAGTATTTTCGTTTCTTCCGACTCTTTCCTCACTGCATGCGCTCTAGATACAATTGGCATTATTTGCTCATTGTCCTTAGATTGTTGCTGACTCTGTGTTTGTCCACTTATGGCCAGTTCGTTTTCACATTCGGCCATTTTTTGCGCAAGATTTGCCGCCAATTGCTGTATTACCGTCAAGCTAGCTTTGATAGTGGCCACAGGTCCCAAATCTTCCGTATCGTATACCTTTTCGCTGGATGTCGCGGCCATCTCCTTCAATCTGTCAGCAGCGAGTCCTGTGTCCAAATCTGAAGGCAATTGAATTCATCAATATCATAAAAATATCGCAAAGATATATTTCCAAGAGAAACCCACTGGATATACTTACCACCGTTTTCGGTAATAGCTTGCAGAGCACTTTTCAATAGATACTGAAGAGTCTTTATTATTTTCACGCCATGCTGATAACATGTCGAAAATTGCTCACTGCAATCTTTATCTAATCCTAAATTGGCGCCTACAGAAAACGCTGGACCAGTCTGATCCCGCGGTACTCGTCTTCTAGCCGACTTTAAGTGTTGCTGGATTACCTCGCATGTCGTTTCGACGTGTTGACAAAGCAGACCTTGAGCAATAACAATACACGTTAAAGCGCAACATCTACGCTAATCAAATCTAACTCAAATGTCAACGGACCTATATCACCACCCTCTCCTTGTATTAGTGCTTTGATTGCCGTAGCGTCAGTGGCGATGGCGTCGCACGTGTTGCTCAATGTTCTCGTGCCATTGACTATTAGGCGTGCTTGATTGATAGTCGTACTTTCGCCAAAGAGTACGGAGAACATAGTGGCAAAGTAGGTGCAACATTTTTCAATCGCGTCCATCGGTAAATTCTCGTCCAGCTGATCTCTCTTCGCCAATTCGATTAACGAATCCAAGGACTTTTCTTGCGCAGCCATTTCCGGGTAAGCCGCGCCCACTTTAAGTAACATTTCCGGGTTGCACGAGTTCAAAGCCGATTCGAAGCAGCTTAGAGTCGTTTGTAAGGCGTACATATGCGAACATAAATGAGATCTGAACGAATATTGCGCCACCGAATGACCCCTCACTACCGAAGCCCTGTAAGAGAGATATAAAAAAGTAGATACAAAGTATTATACAAAATATACAAAGGATTATACAAGAGATTTGTGTATACAAGTTGCACGAAGTGAAATTATTACCTATCTATTTTCTCGATAGATCTATATTTCTCTCGAACTTGCGAAATCAATATTTCTGTTTTCTGCGTCATTCTTGGGATCAATAAAAGTGTCAATATCGCGTCGTGATCTCCACCACGGGCCAAAAATGCCGGGGGCATAAAAGACAACAAATAGCGAACGTGATGCCGCGCCTCATCGGCATCTAGTCGACGCAACTCTAGATCGACCGCCTTGGTTTGCGCTCGAGTTTCGGCGAATGTTTTCTGGAAGTCTAATATCTCCGCGAGTTGTTGATCAGCACCTAAACAATAAGTTTAAAGTAGAAGAATTTGAGAAAGATGAAAAATAATTAAGATTTTTCATATTACGTGACTTTTTCTGCCCACCTCGAACGTTAGTCTTGATGGATTCTGTTGACTGAACTCGTTGCTGCAACTGCAAACATTGCTCTTGCAATTGATGCGTGAGTTCGCGGAATTTTGTGATGGTTAATTCGCGATCCGCGAGCGTCTCCAGCGCAGCGTCTCGGTGCCGTTGAGCGTCACGCGTTGCTCCAAGAGCGAGATCCAATTCTTCACGAAGCTCCAACTCTAATTCTTTAGACGATTCGGCCAGTTGATCAGACATATCCTAAGTCAAGTTATTATTCATTGCATTATTCATCGTGGATTGTTTATACTGTATATTTCTTAACGCGAAATGTACGAAAACTGCATACTTGTAGAGCTTCTAGATCCGCGACAGCTTCTTCCAGCTCAACCACTTTCTCCTCCAACGCCATTTTCTTCTCGCCTAGCATCTCGACCATCTCTTCGGCTCCTAATGCCGCGTCGACCTACGAAGAACATCAGAATATGCGAATATATTGAATAAAATATTATTACAAATTACACAAACGTCATATATACTTGTTCTTGTAGATCCGCTATCTGATGTTCCATCTCTTCGACCCGCGCTGATAGCTTCTCCTTTGTGCGACCTAATTCCAAAATCTCAGACTTCTTCTGATCCATATCTTTTTGCAGTTTCTGGAATTCGTGCTTTTCATGTGCCGACAAATCACGCATTTTCACCAACGTTTCACGCAGCCTATTGTTCTGCTGTTCCAATTGCTTCACCTCGTAGCTAGAAACTCCCGTACCTGATCCGCCACCGGCTGCCTTGTTTGTGTAAGGAAATAATAATACCATTTAAATACATGCCAAAAATATAAAAAAAAGATGTTATATTAATATCGCATGAAAACTAGGCATCTTTAACGAAGATAAGATGTTATACCCGTTCGGACATTTCTGTGCGTAATATTTCCAGATCCAAAGTTTGTTCTTCCAACTTTTCCTTGAGCTGCTCTAATTCGATTTGAAGGGTTTCGGCCTTTTCTTCCGCCATTTCCTTATCTAACGTAGCCATTTCCACTGTCTCTGCAAGATCTGACATTTCTTCCTGATATTGTTCCCTCGCCGCATGAGCTTCTCTGGTTTCTTGTCGAGCTCGTTGAAGTTCTCTCTGAAGACTTGCCTTTGATCATATAAATATAAAAATGAAAAAATGAGAACATGTATTTTCAAAAATTAAAAGATAAATTTATTAAATGAAATTTTGAAAGGAATATAATTTTTTATATTAATAAATATAATTGTATTTATATATATAAATACATATTCAGTAAATATGTATCCTGTTATTGAATGTATACTCACTTGACTTTCCATGACTTTAGCTTTGAATTCAAGAAGCTGCTCGACTTGAAGTTTCGTTTTTTCGAAATCTTTCATTTTTTCCTTGTCTTGCATTCGTTTTACACGTAGTGTTTCTACTTTCTCAGTAAGATCGCGTACCTATATAATATTATTATATATTGTTATACATCTATATACATATGTCATAATTCTATACGAGATATATGGCAATTTACAAAAATATAATAATGAAAATCCTTGGAATATTATAAAAGAAACTTTAATTTACCTGTGATTTCAAGTTATCATTTTCTTGTACAAGTTGCAAGTGCGATAATTTCTCCTCCACCAGAGTCGCAGCTGCTGCTGAACCCGCCATCACCTGACCGGGTACGAATTGTGGTTTCAACGTTTCTACAAAACCTGTCTAAATTACAGAAAAAAGAAAATAAGATACATATATATGTCAAATTTTGTACCGTTGGGTGTTCTTTTTATTATCGCATGAAAGAATTGTATATATCGCCAAAGAGTTTTCTTCAAGGTCCTCTCAACCTGCGTACCTGTGCTAACTTGAAACGCATATACATACACGGTAATAACGTAAATGCGGCATATGGATGGCGCAAAAAAAAAGATAATAAAAAAAAAAGAGATAATTATTCTCAAAATGCGGCAATGAAAAAAACACCCCACATTTCCTACGTAAGAAACATATGTGGTTTTATACGATGTAATACGATATTGTTTTTGTATTTACATCTGAGTAGTTGAGTCTTATGGTGATTAATGGTGAAAGATTAGTTGTGACAGCAAACACCAACAAGCTACACCGAATACTCTATTAGTACTAACAAATATATAGGAAGACCCACAGCTGATGAATTAAATCGTGTGTTGTATGAGAAACATTTACACAGGATGTACTAAAGTCAGAGCTATTTCTCATTCATTTCATCGACTATTTCATGTATTATGTCCTAACGATTGGCACATATATCACTTGCATTCCCGTTCCACGAAAATTAATTTTTAACAGATACAATAATTCCGAGAGAGTTATCGGTCAGGCAAAGTTACACCTCTGAACTATACTGTTAAAAAAATTTGTCCATACTCTAAGTGTTAGTACTATTACTTTGACAACATATATATATAATATAGAGGATATTCAATTCCTAACTGCACAAGGGAGGGTAACACACGACATGATGCTCTGAATGTCCCTTCCCATTATAAACTATCCAAGTATCGTAGAACTCAGTTAATGAAGCTGATGTTAAACACAATAATGCTAGAAAGATGTGGCAAAGAATAATACGAAATCAAGTCTGTAATCCACTAAGAAGGGTTTATCCGTTGCAAAAGTGCAATGACGTTAATTTGTTACAAAAAAATTTGTTACAAACGATGCTTTATGATGGATAAACAGCTAATATGAGAAAGAACAAGATATTAGAGAGGTGATATATATATTAAAAAATTGAGGTATTACAATTAATGAATATTAATTACATTATTGTGATCATCTTGGGCCTTTGGCTTTTTGCCGGGAGGCGAGCTCGTGCTAGGGGACTTCTGAAACACGTACGTGCATTCCCATATGAATCATTCTGTGCCAACAGAGTCTTCTGACTTGCTTTCGCACAAATTTTTCACAGTCTTTTTTTTTCTTTTCTTTTTTTAAAATTTGTCACCTATAATTCTACCTCACATATATTTCCAAGCACACTTTTTGGTCATGATGAAACGTATACGTGCACAATTGCGTTTGACTGATATATCACTGGGTCACAGAATAGGATTCTTTGCACATGAATATAAGAAACATACAAATAATCGAAAAACCTAGAGATTTTAAAATGTCAGAATCTGTTTGTTAGTTAAAAACAATAAAAGTATATCACAAAAATATAACAGATAATTTGTTCATAAAAATATATATATTACACTATTTATTGTATGTATATCATGCTTTGAATCTTTTTGGATAATATTCCTTTTAATGAATAGATCTTTTCTGTTACAATTCAACATAAAAGTAATCTATTATAAGTAGAATCTTATTTGTTATCATAGCTTACAAAGCTATAGTGTCTTACCTCAATAAATGAGGCACGTTTTGAAGCTGAGGTTGGTGCTGGAATTGATGACTCGCCGCCATCTCTACGTTCATGCTGTGATCCAGTTAGACTTTCTGTGCTTGGAGCACTTAATAATGTTCTACTTCCAGCCAAGGATAATCGAGAACTGTAAAAAAATAATATATAAAATATTTAACAAAAAAAAAATATATATATAACATATTATATAATATTTTTTGAAAATATAGGCTAAGAGACTGATTGCAAATTGTTAAAGAAAATCAAATTTTACATTACTAATCTTTAAATAAAAAGGCAAAAAAAATAATAAAATAAAAATATATATTTCTATTTAATATAAAATTGTAATATTTTATAATTTTCATACAAATGTTTATAAAAAATGTTGAAACCATAGAAATCATATCTAAGAATATATCTTATGAAAGAATATGAAAATGCAAAAAATTGGCAAATAAATTTAATATTTAGCAATGTAACTTTTGTATTATAATAATAAAAATGCAACAAAAATAATTATTTAAGCTGAATAATTAAAAAATAATTATGTAAGCTTTATAATTATTAGCTGAAAATAATTACAAATGTGTAAAAGCTTTAAAAGAGGCATATTAGCAAGTGCTTGTGCTTTAAAGCTGCAAAATATTTTAAATATTCAATGATAGAATGTAATTGACATTTTAAAGTATACCATTATATATAAAACAATTGCGATTTTCAAGATATCCATATAAGCACGACCAGTAGCGATAAAAAATGCACACTGCTGACATTTGGCAAAATTTTGACTAACAATCTTACCCAGAAAGCTTGTCAGATTGCTGACGAGTAACATTCGCAGGAGATGTTTTTCTCCGCACACTTTTATGAGCAGCATATACATTTTAATAATTTATTAATTATATACTTGCCTATATTTATTAATTTATTATATTAAGGAAAACTAAAAATTTTTAAGTGCATAAAAGAAGAAAATAACTGCTCCTTTTAACTCTTGACATTATTATATAGTATAAAACTTACGCTGTAGGCTCATTCCTTCGACGCATGCTAATGCTAGCATGAAAATTATGGAATAAAGATTCCATAAATTGTATTCAATTAGCTCAACAATGATGTCACTACTTTTATAATGCAAATAAATTAAGTATTGCTTAATTAAAAGCTAATTTTACTCCAAAAATACACTACAGTACTTTTATGGCATTTATATTTAATTATAGAACTATATGTATATGCTAGCAATATTTATAATTCATTGTTACATTTGTTGCAGAAAAATTATGATATTTTGTATAAAGATTTATTTTTTTTAACATATGTATTTGAAATGTATAATCAGGATTTTTTAATACAATTGTATCTTTTCTGGATTTTAGAAAAGCTCACCTATTTAGACGACTCCTCGCTCTAGCAGCACTGTCATCAGGTGTTGTGGCATTGCTACCAGCTGATGATGGACTGAGAGGTTCCGTCCTATTACCAGCCTCATCCAGCAGAATAAGTTGAGTTTGGCGTGCAAACATGCCATGATTTTCTGCGCACTGCAACAATAAAAATAAACAATTAATACATCTCCTTCATTAGCAAATTGCTGTTTTAAATAATATAAATAAATTTGCCACATATATGTGACTCTAATTTCTCTATTTATTTTATTGCATTGTTTGTGTAGAAGAAATTCAATGAGACTTATAACAAACTATATGCACTTTGTGTACTCTCATGTATAAATTTGAATATATATATTTAGACTTATTTAATAAGGAATTTCTTGAAGGATCAATACTTTCGTTGGACGAATAAATATTCATCAGGGATTAAATATTCGCTGCCGATCTCACCTTGAAGTACGTCTGGCCCTTGACAGTCCCGTTGTTTTTCCCTTTCGGCTCGTCGAGTATCACGCCGATCCATTTGCCCGATGCGAAAGCCGGGTGGCCGATGTAGGCTATCACGCCTTGACACTCCTTCACGGGCACCTCGACACGTTGACCGACTCTGAATGACATCTCCGTCAACCGCGACTCGCCCCAGACGGACACATCAGCTGTTCGCGCTAACCTTCGCGCGCGAGTTTATTCTGGTTCTTCCGTTTCACGCGGACAGAAAGTATCGACGAGATCCTTTAGAAAGATAAGACGCGATGTTTATATCGTGATGTCATTGATGTCTCACCGACAATTGTTGCTCTTCTGCTTGAACAGGTTAACAAAAGGGTTACAAAAGTATGAATTGAGTCTCTCCGATTTGACAGCAAGAGTAGAGAGGAAAAAACGGTTGATTAAAACACCATTAATTAACTCTTTTTATACACTTGTGTAAAATTACTTTAAAATGAAGCAAATATTTGAGACTTTTTTGACAGGAGGAGAAAACAAATTGTGAGAAAATATACAGCTGAAGAGGAATCATTTGATATGTCATCAGATGAGAAAAATAAATGCATATTTAGATTGAAAAAAAGTAAATAAAAAGAATACGAGTGCAAGTCGACAAAATTCAACGATACCCTGTGCGAAGTGGCTGATGATATTCCACCATAATCTATCTTATTCTACGAGAGGAACCACTTTCGGGGAGACAGACGGCGCTGAAAATCGTCCCTCCTTCCCCCCCGCTCTTTTAGAAGAAGGGGAAACTCTAGTATCCCCTGTTTTTATCCGCGCGCGCACGTATATGTGTGTTTTGATTAATAAGTGTTGTCTGTCGCTCTCTATTCGGATGGTCGAGAAAATCGAGGAGAAAACAAATTGTTGCGCAATTGGACGACAATGGCTAATCACTACGAGGTTCCAAATTGGTACGTTTACTGGCCGATAATTTCTCGACGAACTAATCGTCGATGTGCCATTTACGCAATCGCGCGTCCCGATTTTTGTCCCTGTGCAAGAAGGTAGGGACGTCCAACATGACGTTGTATATACGTTGTATTCCTTTCCAGGGCCGGGAAGCCACCAGTAGGACTGCATCTGGACGTACTAAAGAATGACAAGTTGATACAGGTAAAACATGTTGTATTAATTGTAAACAAATCGAATAGCATGTCATTTTAAAATCATGTTCTGTCATATCTTAAATGTGTACACACATCAAACATCACATAAATGTATCTTTGTAGAAGCTTATGGTGGATGAGAAGAAGTGTTATTTATTTGGTCGCAATCAACAGCTGAATGATTTTTGCATCGATCATGCATCTTGCTCTCGGGTTCATGCAGCTCTCGTTTATCACAAACATCTCAATCGGGCATTTCTAGTTGATCTGGGAAGCAGTGAGTACATAATTCATGTCATTGTTAATATGTAATTTTTTGTAAGTATCTTCATAAAATTGAAACACAAATGCTTTCTTTTTCATCAACAATATTAACAGCTAATATTTAAAGAAAAAGATATTGTTATCATACTATAACTTTATTACATCTATCAATAACTCTTTTTATAAGTCTGTTATTTTCTTCCAAAGAATATTTCAAATTTATTTCATGAAGATTTTTTAATAACTTTAGCACATGGTACCTTTATTGGAAACTTACGTTTGGAAGCCCAAAAACCAACTCAATTACCAATTGATAGTACATTTCACTTTGGAGCATCCACTCGATATTATATAATTAGAGAAAGACCTCAAACTGGTGCCAGACCTATCATCGAAGAACTAGAGAAATTATCCGAGGATATTGATGCTGGTGGTTTGTTGGGTCTACCAGAAACTGAAACAGAACTTGATGTATGTGTGAAAAATTTGGCACACATATAGCAAATTTTTTAAACTCTTATTAAAACATATGTGATCCAATTTCATTTTAATTTTCTTTTTTTTTTAGAATTTGACAGAATTTAATACAGCTCACAATCGACGAATCTCTATGCTCGGTATAACGGACGACGAAATGCACAAACCGACACGCAAGCGAAAGAAAAAGGGCATTACCTTCAATGACGACGAAGAGGTGATTAATCCGGAAGACGTTGATCCGTCAGTCGGAAGGTTTCGTAATCTTATACAAACGACAGTTGTTCCTAGCAAGGTATGCCTAATGATCTCGCATGATTATTACAAGAAAGGAAATAAGGCATCATATATAATTGCAAGAGGAATTTGTAATCTTTATGAGAAAATGCGCTTTTTTCGTTGCAGAGAATGCGTATGGAAGGGGGTCTCATATCATTGTTCGAAGATCACAATCCTCTAAAACACATGCAGCCTACGTCCACCACTCCTCAGCTCTATCACGATCTACCTCCCGAGCAGTTTACGCCGTCCTCGATGTCGATCAATCCGTTCTCCACGGCTCTCACGTCGCTGACATCGCGATTGGGTATCGCACTACCTAATCCGGCGCCCGAAGTGGAAATGACTCCGAATCAAGTGCAGACAGAAGTGCCGCATGTGCAGGAACATTTGCCAAGTACGACGGAGCCACGGACGATGGAACCGAAGAAGAAGAAGTACGCCAAAGAGGCATGGCCTGGGAAAAAACCGATACCAACGCTTCTTGTATAATAGAAAAAATTACGGTTCGTATAATTATAATTCTATCATCGATTTTCTGAGAGAACTGTTAATCTTCCAAGAATTGTTCATACATTGTCAATTCGCGATTTTTCTATCAAGTTTGTTATATTTTCAGTGATAACATCTTATATCGCGAATTATGTAAAATATTAAAGAGACTAACTTTATTATAATATTTAATAAGGTATTTTATTATTTTACTTTAGCTGATTATATTTAAAGATTTTATGGCAAATATCATTTAAGAGCAAATCATTAAGGCAAATGTGTAAAAAATGTATACTTGATTTAAAGAACATGAATTTGTAATAGTAATTTGAAAGTGTAGAGAGTAATAATCATATTACAGTGGATGCAGTTGATTAAAACTGACGACAATGTTCAGTGAGCACTCTAAAGTTGTCATATGATAATTATAACTTTAGAGCAGTTCAATTAGCGGTAAAATATTGGGCTCCATATTTAAGTTGTACGAGTTAAGTTAGTATACTCAATTAGTATACACTTTATTTTATTTACTTTTAATGCGATAGCAATAAAAATAAAATTACTTAGTATTTACTTCATTAAATATTTTTGTTATTGAAATATGATCATGAAAATATGTTATACTTAGCTTTAGCATTGTCGTCATTCTTGGATAATTAATAAGCCATTTTGTTTTAATAATTATTCAATAATAACATTATCGTTATGTAATATATTGCATCTGTGCAACAAATTGCAGCATAATTTTCTGTTTACTATTATTGCTTCAAGTGCAATGAATTTGATGTAAATAGGTATAAAGAAAGGAATTTCGTTGACATACTTTTATAAATATGTGAGTACCAAAAAAGAAGTGTTAATAAAAGAATGAAAGTTGTGTATGTTACACAGATATATATTATTTTGATTCAGTAAAAGAATTTTTCAGTACAAAACATGATTATTTATACGTTCGTTTTTTATGTACTTTTTCCACAGTACATGAGACATTGACTTATAGTGCAGTGATTATTATTTATATATATATAATTTTTGTACTATAAAGAACTTTTACAAAAAAATGTCTGTCTATAAAAATAAAAACATGTGGTGACAATTATATAAATATATATACGAAAATAAAATCTTCCTTTTCACACAAAAAATTTAACGTAAAATGACACGTTAAATGACACGTGTGATAATTTTTACTTAGTTGTCGGGCAGCGAAAAAATACACATGCCGGCTTATTGAAAGATTCTCCAAAAATACGTATATTAATACTCTGACGGTGCGTCTGGCGTGGATGGCGACTCGAGGGCGACTTCCTCGTAATCTCTTTCGAGTGCTGCGAGATCCTCGCGCGCCTCCGCGAATTCGAGTTCCTCCATACCTTCTCCTACGTACCAGTGAACGAACGCCCGCTTATTGTACATTAAATCGAATTTGTGATTAAGCTTGGCCCATGCTTCCTCTATAGCAGTCGTATTGGACAACATAGAGACAGCTCGTTGAACCTGCACGTGTACAATTTCAATATGTCATGGAAATAATTATTAACAATTGATGAATTATCAATTTAAAATTCTATAATTATAACTTTGAATATATAGTCTAGAGATTTTTAAGAAACTATTTAATTATATCTAAGAATTTAATATATATTTTAATATATATAATTTAATATATGTTATATATAATTTAATATATATTTTGAAAAAATTTTGTGTGTAAATTAATATTTAAATTCTCTTCCTGAGAATATTTACAATTGACAGTGATACCTTCGCGAGATCACCGCCTGGCACGGCCGTGGGTGGTTGATAATTGATCCCGACTTTGAAACCCGTGGGACACCAGTCGACAAAGCGGATGCAACTCTTGCCCTTCATAGCGGCGATTGCCGCGTTGACGTCCTTAGGCACGACATCACCACGGTATAGGAGGCAACAGGCCATATACTTGCCCTCGCGTGGATCGCACTTGACCATCTGATTGTTGGCCTCGAAGCACTCGGAGGTGATCTCCGCAACCGACATACCTTCATGATATGCCTTTTCAGCTGACACCACCGGAGCATAGGTTGTTAGGGGAAAGTGTATGCGAGGATAGGGCACCAGATTTGTCTGGAACTCGGTCAAGTCGACGTTCAGGGCGCCATCGAATCTCAAGGATGCGGTGATGGACGATACAACTTGACTGATTAGCCGGTTTAGATTTGCGTACAAGGGTCGCTCGATGCCAAGTTTACGCCGACAAATGTCATAGATCGCCTCATTGTCCACCATGAAGGCGCAATCGGAATGACCGATCGTCGTGTGCGTCGTTAATATTGCATTATAAGGTTCCACCACGGCCGTAGATACCTGAAAAAATAGGACAGTATTTTTGAAAGTAATTATAATATTCTCAAATATATATAATAAATCTCTATTTGTAAAATTATGTATTTTTGATGTATCTCAAAATTAGAGATTTTGGCTTTAAATTGCGATTCCTATCTATATTTTCCACATTTTATCTCTATTATTATTAATTTTAATTCTTTTGTAATAGAAATACTTAGAAATTAGAAAGAAAAGAATGATAAATTTTTAGAATCAATTTTAATAATTTTAATTTATGTCTCAGATGACAGAGATCATAAAATTAACAAAATTCTTTTACTTAAAATGAATAATTAACTTTTTTGAACTCACCTGCGGCGCCGGATATATGACAAATTCCAACTTGCTCTTCTTGCCATAGTCGTCGGACAGCCTCTCCATGAGCAAGGATGTAAAACCCGATCCTGTACCTCCTCCGAATGAATGGAAAACGAAGAAGCCTTGCAGACCGGTACACTGATCGGTCAATCTACGCACCCTGTCCATCACCGATTCGATCACCTCGCTCCCGATGGAATAGTGACCGCGAGCGTAATTATTCGCGGCGTCCTCTTTACCAGTAATTAATTGTTCCGGATGATACAGTTGTTTATAAGTTCCCATTCGAATTTCATCTAAAATCATAGCAATTTTCAACATGTAAAAACTAATATGGTGAATATGGTTTGAAATGGATGTATATTATAACATAAATAGAGGGAACGTTTACTCCAATACTTATCAAACACTGACCGACAACAGTTGGCTCAAGATCGACCATCACGGCCCGCGGTACCATCTTGCCGGAACTCGTCTCGTTGAAGAAGGTGTTGAAGCAATCATTCGTACCGGAGACTTTGTCAGATGGCATAGTTCCGTCTGGCTGGATTCCGTGTTCCAGACAATACAATTCCCAGCAGGAATTGCCCATCTGGACGCCCGCTTGACCCACGTGCATCGATATACACTCGCGCTAATAAGAAGAAAAATGAATTTTTATTAGCTATGCAAGCTTGACAATGTACGGCGCAAGATACATTTTTTATTTTTTGCTACTTAGAATTATTCAGAGAGCGCAATTTTATCTTCTCATACCATTTTGATACGTTTTCAAATGAATTTCTCTTGATGTTACACAGTAAAAATTTAGATGGATCGTCAAATCGAAATTTAATTAAATCTTCAATTTAAACACGACAAATTTGGAAGCCGGCCATGAATTGCTCTAGAAAAAAACACTGTGGCAATTTATATTTTGATTGCCCTGGTAACCATTGTGATTAAGTTTTAAAGGAATCAAAATTTAATATTTTTTCTTTAGAATGTGAAGTTGCGTCTAAAATTTTAGACGTTTTGAATGTTTCGTACAAATGCTTGACATTATATGTTTAAAAAAAAGCATTTAAGAGAAATAGAAAGAGATTTTCAATATTCGATGCAAATACATTTCAAAAAATGTTGTAAAATAATTTAAATAAATTCAGAATGTTTTTCAGATATTCAATATAGTATGCAAGCATACATATTGTTATGTAATATTATGTAGAGCCTTACGCGATATTTCAATACCGTTTTATTTTGCACTTCGATATTTTCAATCGAAAGTTACTAGAGTTAAATTCAGCGTACATTGTGAAATTTCGCTAAATGTAAAATTATAAAATTTTGCTGGTTTTTACGAAAGCTGGCAAATTTAGATATCTGAATAATTGAAGAAGCCGCTCTCTCTCTCAAAGCATGCTATATCCATATATTCGGATTGCCATGCGTCACAAAGACGTATCCGTGGCAACTAAGAACGCATGGTACAACACTTGCTATCTGCAACCAGAAAATGACAGTAGTTAATATTATTTTTAAAATAGAACAAAATGTCGAATAAACAATGTGGCTGTGAGAAATATTTTTTCGAAGCAACGATTGCATGACAATATTATTCTGCCTTCTCCTTCTCTATATGATTACGTATACGATTGTATTGTACAGTTTCTTTTAGAAATTATTTTCTTATGACCAATTGTACTACTTATAACTTTTTTACACGATCAATAGCATTAATTTTCACTGCCCAGTGTATTTTCGTACAAGTGACGTGTAATCAATTCACCGATCAAGATCTCAGACAGAAAAGAAATTTTGCGAAGTAAGAGATGTGAATAGTTGACTTAAATAAATGTTGAAAACGCAGTTTCGTGCACAAAGTGGGATTGATTAATGCATTATCTCAATGTAATTTCAAGGGCGATCAAGGGAAACTTTTGAATAAGTGTCGATTGAGAAGAAAAAATATAATTAAGATTCAATCAGCGACGCATGGATACTAATTACAGAGCAAATATCGCAAAATGGTTGCCGCTTTCCGATGGCCTTCTCGACCAATGGCTCGTGGACGCTTCTCTTTTGGACGAAAGAATGGGAAACTTGGCAGGATGCATAGCTTTAATCATCGAGGATTTGGCAGAGGCTCGGACTTGCGATCTGGAGGTCCGAAATTAAAAAGTTTTTAAAACAGAGAGATTTTATCATCATTAATAAACATCTTAAAATGGAATATCTATTAAAACGCTTATAATCGGTTGCTTGGTACGCTTCAGGTATTCGAAGAAATGCTAGATAACTTGGAAGAATTGATAAAGAATTATGATTCGACGTGCAAACCGGGGGAATTAAGCACCCATCTGATATATAAATATAAAATAGATCACCTGTCGATAATATTGAAGCGCAAGCTCAATGTGGTTGCAAAATTTATCCAAGATTTAATTACTGGTATTACCGATTGCAAAAGTGAAGAGAATATAAGAATAGTGTTTAGGTAAACTTCGAAAATAATTTTTCTATCATACCAATATATCACACTCTTTCTTTAATTCGATTAATTTTATTATTTTCCACCTTAATCAGAATTAATTTCTTACAATTTTTATTACAAGAAATTAATTCTGATATTAAAATGCAAAATAATAAAATCAATCGAACTAAGAAAGTGGAGTTCTTGTTTAGATATTTAAAAATTCTGTGATATAGCCAGATGATGACATAATTAGCAAATTGCAGATTAGTAAATGCTTACAACAGCATGCTCAATATGGATCGAAACGTATCAGACTCTTCCGTCAATGTCTTTTACAACGATTGTCCGTCCATGTTGGAGCCGTTAAAGAAAATCTCTGTGACCAGAATATTGCAAGCGAGTAGTTTAATACATTTTATTTTTCATTCTAATATTTTTTAACATGCAAGGAAATTACATTTTCTTTTCATAGACTGCTACATTAAATACATTCCTTTTCGAAATAGTATGGAATATTGAATAAAGGAAAATTTCAAACTCTAATTTTAGATATTAGCGAAAAATAGAGCGGAAGAATCCTGTCACGAACTTATCGATTGTCTTCTGGCAAATTACGAGCCTCATGAAAAACTGGAGCCAATATCTACAACGAATGATGTAGATGTTTCAGAAAACTCTAGCATCGAAATTTACCGGTTCGCGATCATAATTAAATACATAGTCGATATTATTATAATCAGATCTCTATAATATATCTAATAATCATTAGACAGATAAATAAAATTTATAAGCAATGTATAATTGTAGTTTATAATCTTACATTATTAGATATATATATTTTCATGATATTTCTCAAACTATAGTGCTCTTACGAGGCATTTGACACCACCGATCGCAAGTGCCACATCGACATCTGAAATAGAAACATCCAATATCGAAAGCGTGCAGACAGTTGTAAACACGCAGAACGAGCAAGTCCTTAGACTTTTAAATGTTGTGCAAGAGATCTCACCGCGACTGCTTGGCACGGACGCTTTAAAAACCTGCAATGGTATAGTTTTAATGATTTCAAAGACCATTTTACAGCCTTATGTTATGTGCAACTAAAATATTACAATATATCGATAAAATCTTTGATAAATCTTTGATGACCATCAGATATTGATTTATATAGCAGACACTGATATATATTATTTATTAGGTGAAACAAAATTAAGAAGCAACGCGATAAAGAAAGTAAAGAGCTATTATCAGGAAGTTGCATGGGGTGCACTGTCTAGTATTTTGGATCATGTAATATTATGGTGGTCCCGAGAAGCCCTTGCGACTCACCACAGTCATGGTGCTCAGCACCTCAAGGATTGGTTGCGACAGTTCATTCAAAGGAACGAAAGTAAAAGAGAAAATTTCTTTTCTTACATTTGAAAACATTTTCTCTTCGCGTTTATCTAATTCGCTTCGCGAAAAGGAGATATATTTTGTATTATATATTTATTTCAAAAAAATTTCAGTCCCACCTACAGTCAGATCAGCGTTGCAGAATTTATGCGACGCACTCGGTTATCACACGACTATCACTGCCTGGGATCAAATATTTAGATTAGCTTACACCTCGGCTTTCGAATGCCGTTCGAAACCATCGTCCACGGAGGTTGATATCTTATTTTAGAAATTTTTATATTGAATTTCAGAAAAATAATTGTTTATTTGATACAACTAACAAATTAAATTAAAAGTTTAAATTGCTTATAAATATATGAATAGAAAAAAAGGAAAAAAATTCTACATCAGATAAAAAAAAACATGACAATATATAATTGAAATTTTTGTAGGGAACCACCACGGGCCAAATGTTTGTCGAACTATTCCATTTGCTAGTTACCCTCAGCAATGAATGCGAGATTGGCGGTGAATGGGTGATAGGGGCACCCTTGATAGAGTTACCATTGTCAGAACAGATTGTTGTGTTACATAGAATGGATCATTCGGTGCACACAGCGAGATTGTGGGCCATTCAGGAAGCCAAGATTATAGCCCACACCTGGGACCTTGACGTATTCTTTCTGCTGGTTAAGGGTGACATAGTGAATTGCCTTGAAGAATTATCTTATCTCAAAGTATTCTTCTCTTTGCTATTATTTTTTAATAATTTGTATCAAAAAAATGTATCATATGTTTTTGATGGCCGATTTTAGCTCGCCGATCACACAACCGCATTATCCACAGATTCTATTAGCGTTCAAGTATATGTGTGTACGAAGATGAGAGCAAAGATCGTCTCCGAAGTCAAGGCGAATATTGAATTGCTTCAGGTCCAATACATATTTCAATTTCTAATACGAAGAAATATAGAAAAGATCAATTTTATTTATTAATAACTCTCGCTTCGTGAAGAAGAGATTATCTTCAAATTTTTAAATACTTATATTGTATGCAAAGTATACTATATAAAGATTAATATTATATTATAAAATAAATCGGATTTATTAAAATTTGAGAAAGAGAAATAATTTCTCTGCGAGAGATAGAATTTTTAGTTCAAATTTGCTATCTAAAAAACTGTAGATGATTTTAGATTCCTTTATTTTTACAGATTTGCCCCGTTAAGTGTACCGACACGCTTGCCAAAATTTGTCGTGTAATCAGCCTCGCCAATTTGCACATGTGCTTTCCGCGATCGAATTATTGGAGAACGAGTAGCAGCGTACCTCCGGTGACAGCCAGTCTTTACGTAGAAACTTATTTTGGTATATACATATATGTATAAACATTTTTTCTTATTTTATATTATACATTGAAATATTTGTATAAAAAATGTTAACAATAATATATGGATATTATAATTATTATTATAATATAATATAATTAATATTATTATTATTATTATTATTATTGTATATTATCAAATAGTTTTAGAGATATGCAAATTATTTATCAAAATTATATATTTTGTAGAAAAGGTATTGCTACCAGTGTTGGAAGTAATAGAGGATCCCGAAACATCAAACATGATTCTGCGAATAATGTGCGAGGCATGGCTCGATTATATCTATCTGCATCGTATCAAGTTTAGGTAAATTTACTTGATCATCTCGATTTATATATAAATTATTTATAAAATAATATAAAAAGATTATGCAGAAATAATATCCGCATGTTCTCCACTTATTAAGATTAATATAATATTTAACTTATACATGTTCCTTCTTTGTGTTATATATTTTACTAATGTATGAAAATAATAAATTAATTTCCAGCGAATATGGGGCGTATCAATTGTTGACGGATTTCGCACACGTATCAACATGGGTTACAAAGTGTTCGATCATTTCGCAAAATGTTAGAAATCACTTATTAAAGAACGAGGTTTTGCGTCGTTGCGAAGGTGTTGGACGACTTCTTTTGAGACACCCAGGAGAAGCTATCGCTATGCGCAAACGATTGCGTGAGTGTATATAAAACTTATTTAACATATCTACTTACTTTTTTCACATATTTTTAATTTTCGACAAAAGGGATTCTATTCTAAATATAATATATCCAAATATTAAAATTTATTTTGAGTATTTCTTTCACGTCTCATTCGTGATTATTTAAAACATTTTCTGATTAATGATAATTTAAATTTGTTATTTTTTTTCGAAGAAAATTGAATTAAATTTTTTTACTTTTCACAGCTCGAAGAACGAACGAGCGCGGATCACCAGAATCTCCAGGTCTAGAACGTATGCCAGCCGAAATGTACGTCCCGAATCAAGAACAATGGCTTGAATTGCGCGCTCCTAAGCGATACAATTTTTGCTGTATGGAATAAATAAAAATAAATAATAAATAATAATTGTCCATGCTCTAACTATTACATATTTTTCTCAAAATTATGTTTAAATTACTTGAATGCACAGAAATTGCTGTATTAAAAATATTTTTCAGTGTTAGTTTGGATTCTGTGGAATATTTGAAAAAATTTTAAAGTTATTAATATACATAATTCGAAGAAATTATTATTATCTTTATTACTATTAATTATTATTTAGTATTATTGTCACTATTAATTATTGAAAGTAAATTGATATTTCCAAACAAGATTTATTTGAAAAAAGAAACAAAAAGGTGCAAATATTTTATATAATAAATTACAATATATAATAAATTCTATGTATATTTATTTTTCATAGATATATATATAACTATATATCTATATAATCATAATATATAATTTATAATATATATTCTATATATAATATATATTAAAAATAATACTTTTAAAGAAAACAAATTTATGCAATATCTTATGCATCGGTTTTTAATAGAAAATTGACCAATCGTTGATAATATAAATTTATTCTCTCTATTTTATTCTTTATATTTTATTCTCGAGAAGCCCGACAGGACGGAAGCCTTTCCGTGATCTGAGACATGTATTGTGTTACGTATAGGTACGGGATGCGGCTAAGAAAATCAACGTAACAAATTTGCACGACTGCCGTTCTTGGCAGTCAAATATTGGTCGTTCGTTGTCAACGTCACGTAATGTGCTATAATAATTAATCTTAATTTTTTTACGAAAAACTTAAATAAAATAGAGTTTCTCATGCAAAGTAAAGATAAAGACGTGAAGACAAGAAAGTGTCTGTTATTATTATATACAGGAATATAAAAAAAAGACATTTTAATCAGCTTATTGTTATTTTTGAAAGCTGCGTAATGAAAAGTGATGCCCATTAAATTACAACAAATGATTACGGAATCAATTGTACGATTATTCTATAGTTTACATCGTATTTTATCATTTATACGTGCAGAATAATGTATCATTTTTATCAATCTAAAGTATATGATCTGTGATCGCTTGCATAAGTCATACAGAAGTGTAGCTTGTTGCTGGAGTTGTCACACCGCAAAATAAGAATACTAGGCTACAACAAGGCTACTCATGTTTCATTCCGGACTGTCGATTCTCGATTCACCACTTTATATAACCAGTCTGCTTGTCCGTGCGAATGTGCGAGCAATCTTCAAGAGTTCAAGTCTTTATTAAATCCTTTTTTTTTATACGCGGACAAAAGGTTACATACGTTCTATGCATATTATCGTATCGAAAGAATTTTATTATTATTATAATTAAGTGCGTACTTTTGGAACTTTGCAAGGCAATTTGTTAAAATTTCTATAATTTGTGTTAATTAAATATAAAATATAAAGTGACTTATATACGATCTACCAGGTGGGAAAAATCTTTAAAGAGCCTCACCTATCAATCGCTAGAAGTAGAAATCGATATCTGTGTATTATTACAAGTCTTCTTCCGCATCTGCATTTTTGTGCAACGAAAATGCGCGGTATTACGGAAAGAACGCCTTTAAGAAGGCATATGGATTCACCTGACTACGTCGAATTCGCCAGCCTTTTGAGGACTCGAAGAACGCGAATACGGCAGTTCCAATGCTGTATTTGCGGCATCCTGATGTAAGTCCGCGTCTATTTTTTATATGAGATTTTAAAAAATTGAGTAAAATTTTATTTTATATTTTTATATTACTTTAGAATGTTATACATATTTTATACAACATCTGTATAGAATTTTAATATCAAACTCGCGAAAAAAAGGAGAAGATTTTAGAATAATTTTTTAAAAATGACTTCTAATATTTGACTAGTTATAAATAATAGGAAATTATATTTTGCAATTCAACTTATATTTGCAATCTCGCAGAGTGGTCTTCACGATGGCTCTGGTGATATCCATCAGCTATTCTATCAGTAATTCCACTGCGATTGATAACGCAACATCGCCCGGAAATTTAAGTGTTATCTTGAGAGAATCCTTAGGATTCGCACCTGGAGCAACCTCACACGCATCCTTCAGCAGTACCGTTAGTGCCACAGTCGAACCCAACTACATTCTAATACGAAATGCAAATGTCAATACCTCGAAGAGTCTCAATGGACACGAATATATGCAAGGACTACGAGCCAGTGAACGGGCGATTAAGGATCGTCTGTTCGCGGATATGATTGCCGCAAAGTCACCGTTGCCTTCCCCATCTCCAGAATCTAGACACCGCTACGCAGTCAGCACGTATCCAAATGTTAGTGCTCTTGCTTTAGCAGCAATAGGTGAAATTGCAGCAACAAGAACTATTGAGAATATGAGGTGAGCGGTGATTAGGACTCGTCCTTTATATAAAATGTTATATTGCCTTCTAATTTTTTCTCTTTAAAGAAAATGTTGAGAATAAACATAGTTCTGCATTACATATTTTATTTTGTTTATTATAGGCTAGTTAGAAATTAAAATTTTAATTTTTCCACATAATTAATAAAATAATTATTTGTATTAGCGATTCAAATGATAAGCAGTTAGTTTTTATAATATTTCAGACCATTAATAAATTTTACAAATATTTTTCTGTTCGAGATCCACCCATGATGAATCTTCGGCGATCGGTACTTTCTTCGACAGTGGTTGGGTGTCGAAGAGCGTGTGCAAACAATATTTCGATCGCTCCTGCAAAATCGGCAAATACAGGACTATCAACGGTAGCTGCAATCGGCCTAGAGGATGGGGCTCTAGCATGACACCTTTCAGGAGAGTTTTGCCTCCAGATTATGCCGATGGAATCGAGTCTCCTCGGAAGGCGCGATCCGGAAAGGAGTTGCCTTCTGCTAGAGAAGTCAGTCTAAAAGTACATAATCCTTCAGCCAGCAGTAATCCATCTTTCACGGTGATGCTGGCTGTATTCGGTCAGTTTCTGGATCATGATGTTACTGCTACCGCGCTTAGTCAGGGTATTAATGGGAGATCGATAGCGTGCTGCTCATCTTCGAGAGAACAACATCCCGAGTGCTTTCCCATTCGAATTGGAACCGGCGATCCCATGCATGATCTGACTAACAGAACCTGCATGGACTTTGTAAGATCGGCACCAGCTCCGCGATGTGAACTCGGCCCTAGGGAACAGCTTAATCAAGTAATTCAGATCGCATTCTTTCAACTTGCAATTCTAAAAAAGCCAAAAATCACGGAACACTTTCCAAATCAATTTTTTTCACATAAGCTCTCGAGGTAAGCTACAAGACTTTTTTTTGGAGACAGATAGCTTCTGACACCCTGTATATAAAATTCAAGAAACTGATTTTTTCAAACACGTAACACACTTCTTAAACGTAAAAATAATTCAAATTGCCAATGAATAAGATTATGGAAAGATTTAGCAAATAATGTTGCGTATAGGTCAGCGCCTTCATCGACGGTTCAGCTATTTATGGCTCCAACAATGAGACCACTTCTGATCTTCGCGAATTCACCGGCGGTCGTTTGAGGATGCAGCTCACTCCCAACAATAGGACTTTATTACCGGCAAGCATGAATCCTGACGATGGCTGTAATAGAGAAGCCGAGCGACGTCGCGGCCGTTATTGCTTTGCCGCGGGTGATGCCAGAGCGAACGAGAACCTACATTTAACCACAATGCATCTTCTCTGGGCACGACAACATAACAGGATCGCGGATGAATTGTCGAAAATCAATCCCTCTTGGAGCGACGAAGTGCTCTTTCAGGAAACGAGACGCATCGTCGGCGCTCAACTGCAACACATCACCTATCGCGAGTTTCTACCCATCATTGTAGGCGATGAGAAGATGAAAAAATACGACTTAAAACCTCTTAATTTAGGCTACAGGAAACAAACGTATGATCCAAATGACCTGGAAAATGATCCTACGATAGCCAATCACTTTGCGGCCGCGGCTTTTCGTTTCGCACACACCTTACTACCAGGATTGATGAGAATGACAGACGCAGAGAAGGGTACGTCGTCATATGTGGAACTGCACAGGATGCTTTTCAATCCGTACAGCCTCTATGCCGAGGACGGCGTCAGGCGTTCGATCAGCTCGGCCACGACCAACGTCATCCAAAAATATTCTACGCATGTCACCTCGCAATTGACTAGTAATCTCTTCGAAGATCCCGTAGCCAATTTTACAACACCTTGTGGCCTCGATCTGGTGTCGTTAAACATTCAACGTGGCCGAGATCATGGATTACCGGGATACACTGTGTGGCGGGAATATTGCGGTCTAGGAAAAGCGGAAACGTTTAACGACCTTGAAGGATATTTGAATCATCAGGATTTGGAGCAAATGTCAATGCTTTACGAGTCAGTCGATGATATTGATCTGTATACCGGCGCATTGTCGGAAATACCGGAATCGGATAGCTTGGTCGGGCCTACGTTTACATGTTTGATCATTGATCAGTTTATACGCCTACAAAAGGGAGATCGTTTCTGGTATGAGTACGCCGAGCAACCATATCCCTTCACAGGAGGTAAATTTCGTTGATAAGGTTTGTTTCTACTATGATGTGCAATTAGCATAATTTCAATTATTTATGGGAAAAACATGTTAAAAATAGCGAATATTAAGTAATATAAATTTTTAAGATAACAAATATTTGCCATAAATTTTCGCTATAAATATTTATAGAAATTTATAGAAATTTATTATGACCAAATATATTTAGTTAAATTGAACAAGAATAACTCAAATGTACATATTTGCAAAAATTTCAGAACAACTCGTGGAGCTACGCAAGAGTTCACTGGCTAAAATAATATGCGATAATTCCGACGAGATTACGCACGCTCAGGTAGAATTAATGCGTTCTGTTGGATCTAATAATCCTATGGTACCTTGCGAAAATATACAAGGACCTTCCTTTATATTATGGAAAGAGAATCTCACTTCTAATTTAACACCAACAGATAAAAAATTTAAACAGATCAAAATTTTATAAATATAACATATGTTTAAAATTCGGAGGATTATTTTAACGTTTAGATAATCTTCACAGTTTAGATAATCTTCACTTTGATTTTAACATTAATCCTCAAAAAAGTTGATGACATTATTTGTAACGATTATTAGGCGATATCATGTTGTATAAAAAGTCTAAGAAAATTGGACATATTCTATTTTATCTAAAGCGCTCTTCAAATAAATTTTACATAAGAATTATTTTTATATAATATAAGCATTTTCTGTACATTCCTAAATTTGAAAATTATTTTTTTATTATTATTTCTATTTTCTATTTATGCAATCTTTATAAATCTCACAAGAACAAGAATTGAAATATTGAATATAAGAATTGAATATAAGAAATATTGAATAAAATAAATATAACAACATATGAATTTTATTGATTCATAACTTGCAAATTACAATTAACTAATGAAAATAATTACATTTAGGAATAGACAGATGTTTAAAGCTTTATATACTTTTTATATATTTTAATTTTACACTTTATACACTTAAAACTTTTTGCTATGCAATTCAACATACTTTTAGATCGTGAGTCTTTTTTCAAGATAGACACGTAGTTAAAAAATAATTTTGTAACAATTTTAAATTTTATAGCAAAAATTTGGTTTTGAACAGATCAAACAGATTACGAGTAATAAAATAGTCTATGCTTGTATTTTATATTTAATTTTATTGAGTATAACATTTTTAGAAAAATTTTTAAATATGTTTTTTATTTTTTACAGCAACATCAACAAAAATGAATATTTTAATAAAGAAATTACGTTAAATCGTAATTAACTTTTAATAAATGACAAAATTGTATCGCAATCATAAATCTTTATCGAAGTGCAATCATTCATTACTGTGAATAAAAATGGAAGCAAATGGGATACATAATTTTTGTTGTGATCGTACTATTATTAATTCTTACGAATAATAATTTGCCTATATATATGTATTTAATATCTTTGTTTTTCAATTTTAAGTAAATTTGAAAATAATAAATTTTTGCATAAGTTAAAAAATCTTTTTGAATATTTTTAATATCATTTAGCATGAAAGAAAATCATTGTAACTATTTACAATACAATTTTTTAAATATTAATATTAAATGCAACATCGATTTCATTGAATTTTCGATTCATTAGATATCCAAACATTATTCAAATATCTAAATAAATAATTGATAAAATAAGTTACATATAAAAATCGATCGGAACAATTATGTGAAATTTCAATAAAATAATATCAATATTAACGAAAAAGTATATATACTAAAATGTATCTCAAATGTATTTATCTATCTTAAGAAATTTATATATATTTTTATTAATATATATATATATATATATATATATATATATATATATAAATTATATAAATTATTCTGATGTGTCCAATTTTGAAAATTTTAAGAAAGACGTTAGATTTATATCGCCTTAGTTTTAAGTCGTAACTCATACAACAACAAAAATTACAATAGATGTTACATTCCACATGCTGTTATGGAAACTTGGATCGTTTAATTAACAAATAATCTGTCTTTGAAATAATTTTATTAGAAAAATGATACATGAAGAAAAATCATTTTGTTGGCACTTTGCAACACAGGTGCAAATGTTTTTATCTTTAACCAAAAACTTTAAAAATTTATTATAATATTATGTATATGTAGAACATTGAATAAATAACTTTTGCGAGACTAAAAAATCATTCTCACAAACAATTTTTAATAATAAATTTTTTATTTCAATGGGAATAAAAAAGATAAACGATATATTTTATTTCTATTTTGCGAGAATAACGAAAGTTTACGTTACTTTCTAGAAAGAAACGTATTGATTTTACTAAAACATCTACTGTTTGGAAATATACTTTTTAAAATTATATTCTTCTACTATTTATTTATTATTGATTTACATTTTTCCTATTGTTTACTATTAATTATTATTGATAATTGATTCGGCTTATAGTTTTTTATTCTAACTGTAATATCCGCAAAGAGATATATGCGTTAAATTCTTCATATGTATATTATTTTGATTTGATTTTAAATTAATAATAAATTAATAAATACAAAAAAAGAGAAATGATACAATATATGAACGAATAACATGATATATGGCGAAATGATACAATATATAACGAATAACATGGAATATTATCAATAACATGGTATGTGGCCATGGTGGCGTAAACAGTAGCGCGCTAGTGTTTACATCCTACAGTCTTAGTATCATCAGAGAGAAAATTGAGAGATGTCATGGCCTGCTTTTAGGTGATCCCTGAAAGCGATATTCCCTCTATGGACATTGAAAACGTGGACATGAACTACAAAGCCAATATCCATGAATGTTCTCAGAGAGTATCATGTGCACAATTTCTGATTTCGTTCCGTGCTATGTGCACGAAATGCCGGTAACACCAGAGTATAACAAGACACTCATGTATATAAATTGATAGTAAATAAATTATGCAATCGTGAATGATACTGTAATCTTCCAATGTAATGTTCAAAGATGAATAAATATTAGAATAAAGATTATATAGAAAATTAGAATAAAGAGAAATAAATATTTTTCTATATTCATTGCCATGTTTATATATTTTTATTTACAAAACACAAAATGTCTGCTGTGGAATAAAAACATTTTTAACCGTTATTTCTATAAATCTTAATTAGCAATAAACTGATCTTTGATATTTATTAATCATTTTTTTAATTATTTAAAAAAGTTATTATATTATTAATTATTTACTTATTTATTTATTACTTATTTAATTATTAATACATGTATAGAATTTGTCAAATTAATCACTGATTGTTCTAAAGTTTTTATAATTAAGATTCGAAAAATATAGTTGCAAAATATTTTAAATATCTCTTCCTTCATATAAAATATAAAGAATTCATATGTTCCATTCTAATATAGTCAACATTATTTATATACTTTTATTATAATTTTCTTACCAGAGCATAATATTTTTATGCTTAATATTTTATATAATACAATGTACTAAATTATAAAATTTAATATAATTACAAAATAGTATTGCTATTAATAAATAGGTTGTATTCATACTGTCTTTTAATTTCTAATCATTTCCAATCATTATGCATTTCTATTATCTATTTCTATTATCTATTATCTATTATCTATTATTTTCTTCTTTGAGTTCTTGGATTATTATGGTTTATTGTATATCCCTTGGTGTTAAAATCATAAGGATTATCATCATTTGTCATCTTATTCCTTCCTATGGAGTCCATCGAAATATTTTCTATGGACATTGGTTCTCTCGAGTATAGATATTCAAATCACTCAGAGAAAGAGAAAGAGAGAAAGAGGAGGAGAAAGGGTTTGAGATATTCAAAATCACTGTAGTTGTCTTTTTTCTATTTTCTCAATTACTGTCTCTTTTTTTTCTTTTTATTCAAAAATATTAATATAATTAAAAATAACATATATATATATAATTTTTTGATATCTTTCTTAGTCTGACTCTTCGACTTGTCTGGCATAGGTAACCCTATCTAAGGCCGGCATTCATAATTCATTCTTATATTTAAGATCGTCTTAAGTAAGTTGGAAAATATAACTATTACTTTTACTAACTGATTGGAATCTCAAGACGCAATCTAAGATCATACTTAAGATTATTTTAAATATAAAAATAGTCTATATATATGAATATCGGCATATTATACGTTACTGCCGGCATAGCTCTTAGGTTCATTAGAGTACTCAAACCTCATCCGGCAAATGCCTCTGTAAGGTGGAGATAAAGGAAAAAAATTTTTTTAAATTTTATTTTTATTTTCTTTCAATACAGGGTTTAATATAAAAGTGAATGTAAAATATAATTTGAAACTTAATACAAAATAATTTTTATTTATTACATGGAATAATTTAATACACGAAAATGTCTCTGAAATATACGTATAATATAAAATTTACTAAAAATTTTTATATAGTCCAGACAAACCCGATTAGCGATGATTAATTATGCAACATTTATCATAAATAATCAATATGCGATAATAGAATTTAATAAGGGACTCTAAATACAGAATAATAATCTTTGTTCCAAGATATCGCAAAATATCGCAAAATATCGCATTGTAATTGAACCTATACTATCCCTAGATAATTAATATTACACTGCGCCTATAAATATCGCAAAATATCGCAGAAAGTTCTTGAAGCACATATTTCATGTAATTTATTCATTTAATCAAGTAAGAATCATAGAAACAGAAATCTAAAATAATAAATTATAGTTTATCTAAGATTGATTTTTACAAGAAGAAATTATTATTTTAATGATATTTATAGAATAAAATATAATTCCCGCGACGCTTTATCTCGTTCTATTTTTCAATTATTTAAAATTTAATTTTTTAATTTAGAATCAAAACGCACAGCAAAATAATCGAATCATAAATCGAAATAATTAACATAATAAAAAGCTTTGCGATACATGAGATTAACAAATATTATTTAATTAATCCATGTAATCTAAAACTTTTAGACACTTTAACATTTCGTGTATATGTTAAAGTACGTAAAATATATCAGCAGTGAATGGATAATAACACGATCGGCCTTGGCGGCGTATGACGCGTTGTGTTTACATGTACGGTCTTGATATCATTCACACGGCAACATTCGAAGAGTAAGGTGCGAAATACTTCGTATATTAAATTTTTTCTCTAATGATAAAACACAATTATGACTAGTATTAAAACAATTCGCTATGATAATTATAATTAGTACTTGCTAAACTTTTAATTGTAATTACTACGCGATCGGGAATGCCGTGCAAAATGTCTCGCGATTTTTGTGTATACTAATTTTAATTAACTAATCTTAATTAATCTTGTTTTCAGGAGTGAAAGTGAGTGCAACGAAAAAATAGCGAAAGAGAGGAAAAGCAAGTCTAAAAAGCACTGGGCCACGTACTAAGCAACATTATCCGGTAAATAGTTTATAAATTATTTATCATTTATATTTATCATTTATATTCAGATTATATATATATATATATATATATATATATATATATATGTCATTTATATTCAGATCATATTATATATTGCATGTTTTCTCAATA